CTTTAACTTTTGCCCACTGTGAAATATTATCTCTTCCTCCTATCCTTGCAACACTTAACATTTGACACCTTGATATTTTATGAAGTCTTGTAATGTTATATGGTCAACATACATTAAACAGCAAGTGTTTGAACTTCTGGGAACGTTAAGTTCTGGATTTAGTTCAGGGTCACAAACTATTAAAGGAAAGTGTCTATGTATTCCAATCTCTGTTATCTTAATGAGAACAAAGAAGCCGGACATAAACTTTTCACCAATGGGTTCCTTTTGGTCGTCATCGAATAAATGTCTCATGAGATACTCTGTGCTTAACATTTCTTTCTTCAATACTTTCGGTATACCTTCTAAAGTATAAAGTCTTGCTATAGCTGATGGATATAATGAAACAGCGTCGAAATCAGCAATGAGTTTCTTTTCGCTCTTTTGTTTAATGTTATCTGACAACATACATCTTCCACCTTGAATACAGCGTGAAATAAATTCTCTTGGTTTATTTGAGAGGTCATATAAATTTCCATTCGGGAAGTACACTCTGTTCTCAAATAATTTGTTAGCAATTGAACAAATACTAACGTAGTCATAAACGTTTAAATCAAATTCTTTCAATATGTCATTGCGGAACTTAACAAAACCTTCTCTTAAAATTCTTACATCTTGTTTGCAATAAAATGTGCTATACTTTTCTAAGTCGAAGTGGTTTTCATCTATTCTGCAGTTTTCGATGGAATCTATGTTTTTCATGAATGTATCTGCATCCCGGATAAACTTACATGCTTCACAAATGACACCAGTTCTGTTGTCATTTGCTAACAAAACACTGCTGTAGTAGTTATATGGAAATACTTCCTTTTCACCACACTGCAAATGAAACATTTCAGGAAATAGTTTAAGCTTCTTATTTATAACACTGTAAGAGTCTTTTATAATAATTGCCCTTCCTTTATATAAGCCAGTTATTTGCATTGTTCGTGAACCTTTAATGATGGGAGTTCCTTTCACTTCTGTCATGTGTCTTAAGATGAAGTTTATATCATAACTGAGGTTATGGAAATATATTAAACTCTTGTCAGGAAGTCGTTCCAAAAATTCTGTTGCACAGTTCTGACCCCAAATGCTTTCACTCACTGAACCATCTTCACTGTCATAACAAATGTTAAAAGCTTTATGAACTCCATCAGTGCTACACTCAAAGTCAGCAAAGAAAACGTGCTCAGGAATGAACTTGCACTTATTTTTATTTACTTCTTTTGGCTCAGCTTTCATCTTCAGTTGTACACAATACTTTGGAGCATATGTCAAATCTTTAAATGGTGCAAGGTTCTGTTTATATAAGTCAGTCGTATATGTGAAAAGTTCTCCATAAGAAATAGGTTCGAAATATTTGCACTCCCACAATGTTTTCATAACATCCCATAACGGTGTTGTTCTATCATAACGAACTACATATTTATCTTCTCTCTTTGTATAAATCTTCATTTGTTTCTCAATGTTCATTCCACCACAAACTTTGAGAATTTCTTTGTAATTTCTGACGAAATATGTTGTCATTGGTAATCTTTCGTTTAGCATGTAGTGGTCTTCAACAAGAAGTAAGTCAATAGTTCGAACAGTTTCACATTCTTTTGGTATATATCTCTTTATTTCATTATGTCTTGAGTCATTGAAGTAGCCAATGGTAACATTAAATGCTATACCTGTTGCGTCAGAAATTTCTTGTACTTTACTTTGAGGAAAGTCTCTAACACGAATGACTTCTCTCATGTGGTCAATAGTCTCTCCATCTACTCCAGCCTGAATGCAAGCATAAACGAAACAATTGTCTTCTGTCATAAGTGCTGCAGTTCTTTTGTTCAATTCATTGAAGATTTGGTAGCGCTCAAGATTTATAGGTAATGTGCAAAGATACTTCCAGAACTGACCGCTTCTCTTCTTATAAAACTTCTTTTCACCATTATCTTTCCAAAAGCTTTCTATAAGTGCTGGGTTTCCTGTTTGCTTAAGAGCTTCCAAAATGGCTTTCTGGTCATTTGTCAGTGTGCTTTCATCTCTATATGGTCTCTTTTTTCAAGAAACCAACCAAAATTCAAGAAAGTCAGTATACTTATGAATATCCAAGACACTGGGTAGAGTATGTAGGAGGTGAGAAAGCTATTGAAATCAGACAGGTTCGAAGTATTCCAGCAGGAAGAACAATATTATTGAAGAACTTTAATGTTTTGAGGTATAATGATGAAACAAAGAAGCAAGATAGTTTTCCTGTTGCTGTGTATGTGAACTTAGATACAGGAGATGACATGAAAGTTTTTAATACAAAGCTTCAAACGGTAGTGAGAGAACAACTGACTGCGGAAGGACATCCATTACCTTCAGAAGTTACCATAGCATATAATTTTGAAACAAACTCAATAGATTTTAAAGTCGTCTCTGCAAAGAAGTCGGGTTTTACATTTAATGAAGCAGATGTATATTCGAATGAAAACTTCAAAGCTATTGCATGGTTAGATAATGACGATTGCTTTAAGAAAATATTTAAATTCAGTGACTCAAAGATGTCAATAGATGACCTTCGTGGAATGTTACCATCGACGTTTACAGTAGAAGGTTCAGCAGGATTGCTTACAAGATTGTCAATTGGTGGTATTTGGTCTCGTGAGAACATTGTTATAAAATCCAGTATAAGTGAATTTGCTGAAGAATCTATATTATGTCTTTCAAACTACATGTATTCGCCGCCGAAGCATTATAGTATAACAAACTTTGTCAGTAAGTTTAACATAAGACTTGTCGAACCTTCTTCAATGAAAGATGTTGTGCTACCTAAAGATGGAAAGGATGGACTCATTATTGAGATGATTTTAATAGCATATTAAATGAGCTTGTTCTTGAAGGTCATTCATGATGAAATAACTGTTGTAGAAGATGTTAGCAATTGTTCAGACATTTTGAAGCGTATAGATGAGATAAGAAAGAAGTTAGATAGACCGCAAAGTGGTGAGGGCGAAGCCCGTGAGAACGCTTATGTTTCATTGACTTTCTCCAGTAACGAGAACTTTTATGAGATAATATTGAAGAGAGGTGATTTTAATATGGTGTAAATGGTAGCTTGGGCAGCTTTAGGCGCAATGGGAACAAAAGCATTAGCATTTGGAGCAAAAGCACTTGGAGCTTATGACGCAGTAAATAAAATGAGTGGAGGAAGGGTTTCGAAGACATTAGATGCAAATAAAGGGAAGATTGGAGGTTGGGTTGCAAAGAAGTTAAGATTAAATAAAATAGGGCTCATAAATAAAGCATCCAATTTGGTTGCGACTGAGTCAGAAAATGCTTTAGGAAAGGACGATGAGTTTGCAAAACACGCAAAAGACTTTAATGACCAGATGAAAGGTGAAACAATGCATTTAAATAGATTCGATGGAACTAAAGAAAATGTTTCTTCTCCACCAGTAGTTCTTCCGTATGGTCCCTATGGAATGTATGGAAACCCTTACGAAAGACCATTTGACCCATTGACTGGTGGAAGTAACTGGTATCATTACGGACGAAGAAGAAAGACAGTCAAGTTGGAGACAGACGTGAAGAAAGCAACTAAAAAGAAACCAAGGAAGAGAGTTATAAAGCAATGAATTCAACAGGGTGAAAAAAAGAGGTGAGATCTCACCACTTCACCTAAATTTATTTTTGTGCTATGTTTTCATACGTGTGAGGGTGGTGATATCATTAATTTTTAAGTTTATTTTTTATTTTATTTTTATTTTATTTTTATATAAATGACGAAAACTATTGAGATAACAAATTACAACGGTCATGAGTTCAAGAATTTGTTCTTCGTTCCTCGTGAAAATACATTCTATCAGATACGAGGGAGAAAGGGTAAAGTTAGTTTGAGCGTTTATGACAACAAACATAATGGGAGATATATAAAAGCAATAGATACAAACGGTAAGCGTGTTTCATTAGCTTTGTCAAAACTTACTAACATTTATTTTGACAGTGACTTTGACCTATATGAAGAAGAAAGTGAGTCAGAAGATTATGAGCTGTTATGTGAAGCACAGCAATGGGAGGAGTTGCAATACTTTTGTAAGTGAGAACGTTTATTTTTTACATTAGTGAGGTGAAGTGGTTGGCGGCTTTGTAAATATTTAAGGTTAAGTTAGTGTTGTCGTTTGTGTTGTAAAATATACGTTAACGGTTTTGTAAAGTGTCAAATTCACATATAATGGGTAAGGAGGCGCGCAGTGCCTCAGTACCCATGATAGGGATACTAACTAACAATTAAGGATATGCTCACTAAATTGAAATCTTTTATTCCACCAAGCAGATTCAAGAATATTTATTCCGATCAAGGTCCGGCAATTATAGCTGCTGTTAGAGAATCAGGCTTTTCTTGCGATCATAAATTTTGCTTACGTCATTTTGCAACAAAAAGGGAATACATCAATGTCTATTCCGAAATTGTTGAAGTCGCTTACGCAGACCATCCTCAAAAACGAATTGACTTGATTAAAAAGTTAGAAACTCGTTTACAAGAGGAATATCCAAACCGCGAAAATAATCAGGATCTCTTTAAGTACTTAGATAATATTAACCCATTTGAAGGATTCGCTGACTACACCGCTGGCATACTCACAACATCTCTTATTGAATCCCTTAATGCCGAAATTAAAGATAAATGGGATACATATGAACCCGCCGAACTAATTATCCGTCTCATTGAACATGAATTCAATCTTGTTAAAAATGTTTTAACAGGTGATTTTAAATCAGATAATATTATCAAAAATCTAAATGAAACTTTGAAACATTCAGATATGTTTAGCTCGGTATTATATGATCCAATTCAAGAATTATATTATGCAACTTTTGGTCGCTATACATATTGCGTAAAAATTATGTCAGATTCACAATATTCATGCACATGTAAGCACATCGAATTATACGGATTACCTTGTATTCATGTAATCGCCGTATGAATCACTTTTCGAACAAAATTCTTCTTAAAAATTTGAATGATGCAGTTCATGCTCGCTTCAAATGTTCAGAGTTTATGACTCCTGTGGAAGATTTAATGAAATTTTATGTTGACCAAGCATCTTTAAAAATTCCCGGAATAAATTTCAACCTGGGAGATTGAAAAATTAAGGGAAAAAGGACTAGGATTAAAGCATTTTACGAAAAGTGATGCTGTGTTGTTGTTAGTTATTTATTTACTTTTTTTAATATTTTAAAAAAAATAAAAAGAAAATTCAAATAATTTTGTATCTCCCATGATATATCGACCCACGAGTACTAATGTGGCTATAATTAGAGATTGCAACTCTATTATGATCATAGTCCGGTGATATACAATAAGATTCAAATTTTGAAAGAATTAAATTAATAAAATCCCGGTGAAAAAAATAAAACAGCTTCTAAAAGTATAGTTATCTTAAAATACGAACTTTAACACAAGTTTCTTGATCCAATAGAAAATTGAATTCTTTGAATAATAAAAATATTTTATGTATTAACATATTAAATTTCCTAATTATTTTTTCTTCTTGGGAAAATTTTTTGAATTCGAATAGAAAATTCAATAAATTGAAATTGGGTTGAAAGAATTCTCCATATTAACTTGTCATAGATTTCAGATCATATAAATTAAGTTAATTAAATTTTAAAAAACCTTAATAGGATAAAAAAAAGAATTTACACTCTCTCACTTTGAAAACGTAGAAAATGCAATCTATTGGTATACATTTTAGTTTTGTTAAGTTTACAAAACGATTACTCTAGATTTTAAAGATTTATCAAGAATTTAGAGAATATCCTTCTCAAAACAACTTCAATAGCGAAGGATTAGTATTGAATCGGATTTGTAACATAATTATAGTACATTACAATACAATTTCTCCGACTTTTAAATATTTTTGAAATATTTACAAAAATATGCTCTTTCTATCATCGATACTTTAATACAGAGCAAATTTAGTAAATGTCATCACGTTATTTTTTCATAAATCGTTTTCGAACTTTTGAAATATTTATTTTAAACCAGTTTTCTACATTTAATATGTGAATTATATCAAAAGTAGATGGGCGATACTTGTAAATCTATTTAACTATTAGTTTGCTATTATTGAAGAACTTTATAATTTTTTTTCTTATGTATGGAATTAAAGATAATTTTGCCGATTCCACTGGTTTTTCTATATGAGTTAAATATGCCAAGTGAAATTGGACTTGCCAATATTGTAAATTGAAAGTGGACTATATATCGATTTTCATTGATTGATGAATAACTCGGAGTAATGTAATTGTTGATAATGAAAAATAGTTTTCAATTGCTGGTAAGGGCCAATGTATGTTCAATAGCTCCGAAAGCAAAAAATGCACGTTTAAAAAAAGACGATAACGATTAAATTACAAAATCGATAAGGACGACGATTAAATTACAAAATCAATAATGACCCCCTTTTTCGTGGTTAGGTACACGTTGTGCTTTGGTATATAAAGGAGGGAGTTGTATATGCTGATCTCTAGCATACTGATCAAGATTAGCTGAATAAAAGTCGCCGTCTGCAATAAACATTAAGCAAATTGAATTAAATATAAAATAACCGCATGGTTTTATAGAATAATATAAAAAATTTTGAATAGTATAGAATTTTTCGACCGTAATATAATGGTGTATGGATATATATTAATATTTAATAATGTGATGACATAAATTGTCCGTAATAAAATTGATAGAAATACGATGGACCATATTTGCACAATTTAAATGTATTCATTGTGATCTAAGGATTAATAATAGTTAAAATGTCATTCAAAATATTAAAAACACGTTACTTATGTTATAGACCGAAAATAGATTTTTTCGGTTTTCTCTTCAAATAATTGAAAGAATGATACTATTATAGGTTTATTATATTATATAGCATACAATCATGCTATAGCCGAAAATTATAAGTTTTGAGAAGATTGAATATAACACAAATAAATTTGAATGTAAGTTAAATTGCTTGTTGTTTTTAATAGCTATTTAATGAGAAATCCAATATTGCAAAATTCAAATTGAATGATTGAAAGAACAGAAAAAGTCATTCTTTTCAATTTCGAATATGTTTCATTGTATTTATAATTATATGGCAAATAAGATATTTAAACTTGATTTTTGAAGGAAAATTCACAAAATTGAATAAATTCAAATAATTTTTATTCCAAAATAAACTAGTTATTTGAGTTTAATACTAATTATCTATTCAAACTACAAAGTTTGTAATTTAAAAATATTTTGTGAGATCAGATTGAATTAATTCAAGGTTCTTTTCAATTAATATTAATGACCATATTACGCATTTTCGAACATTCTAAACCAAATATATAAAAATGGGAGACGAATGTTAAATTTGCTAGACATGGGGGAGTTGTCTGCAAAGTTTTTAGCTCTTATCTCTAACAAAAAATTAATTTTTTAAAAAAAAAACCGAATACGTTTCACAGCGAGAAAAAAATAAAGGCAAGATAGAATTTTCTAGACATGAAGAAGTTGTTTACCGAGTTTAGCTCTTATCTCTAACAAAAATTAATTTTTAAAAAAAAGACCGAATACGTTTACAGCGAGAAAAAAATAAAGGCAAGATAGAATTATCTAGACATAAAGAAGTTGTCTACCAAGTGTCAGCTGTTACTTACTTCTCAATACTGATATAAAATAAAAATCTTTATTATTTATTTAACCTTATTGTTTCATTAAACTTCATTTATTTTATATTATAGTTTTATTCTTTTAGCTACTTGTAAATAATCTAATTTTATATCATCATTTTACCGGATTATTCTTCAGTACATCGATTGTGTATCTAAAATAATATCATTATCCTTATTCTGTTTTTTTCCAAAATTCTTTTAAATATCTTTTTTGGTTAGATTACTTTATACTTTTTACTTTTATTTTTTAATTTCAAAAAAAAATTTGGTAATTGTTCTATTCTGTTACAATGTGCATTCTCATATTCTAATGAATTATTCATTACATACATTTAAAAAAACTTGTTAAAAATGAAATTAAAAAATTATGTTTATTATTACGCTTGAATGTGTCAACAGCGGTCATGCCTGTATCTGTATCCCATATTTGCCACAACACCTTTCTGTATCTGCATTTGTGTATTTCGGTTTCAGCTGATACATTTGATTTGGCGTGTAATTTGTTCCAGTTAATGGATTAATTGGGAGATCTTCATGCGGTGTGTTATTATTTACTCCAAATAAAGGCAGGAATAGCCTGAATGCTTTGGCAGCGCTCCAATGTCGGCCAGAATCTCTCAATCTTCCCATTTTGGTAGGGAGAATGAGAGTCTGTATGCCCATTGGACGCCCCAAAGATCAAGTAGATCTTGAAAGGCGCCCCTATTTTCTGAACCGTTGTCGGTCCAGAAACAATAAGGGGCGCCAAATTCAATGAAGGCGGAAGCCGCAACGTTCGCTATCGTGCTGCCAGCATATCTGGTATTTGTATACACGCTAGGACTTTGCGGCTAAAATCGTCGATTATGCCATAAATACTGGCCACGACACCCAAAATAATGAACATCTGCGTGCCAGATAAGATTGGGTGAAAGCGCCAATATCTTACTGCTGCTTCTGGCCCGGCATGCTCTAATCGCGTCTTGGTGAAATGATTTTCTTTGAAGTATCTGCGTACTTCTCTATAAGATACATCAATTTGTTGTAATTTCAAACGTTTCCGTTGTTTTGTTTGACCACAGGAAAGGCCCAGTGTCATGTATCACAGCAAGAGCTTTGATTTGGTCGTAGGGATTGACCCTACGACCTTTCTTGCCTTTAGGCAATGGGATATTCTGTAAGCTAAATTGATTTTGTAAAAAAGATTTTGAAACATCTAAATATTTTAAATCATTTGATTGAAGGGTTGGGGCGATGGGAACATGGGTGCAAGCTTCTTCCCATGTCATTTTACCTTCTTCAATCTGATTGGAAATACCAATTAGGTAAATTCGATCGACATACCCTTTGTAAGGATTCATTCTAATGAAGTACGTTAACAATCAAAATATTCTATAAGTGTCTAGTATGGAATTCAAAAGAATAAAAAGGTGCCCAAACTATTTTTTGAAAGTCCGCCATAACTTTAATGGTACTATTTCAGCGTGTACAATGAATACAAAAATTCTAAGAGTGCCACATAAAATAGTACTTTAGACTTGAGTTAATGCTACCAAGCAAATGTTAAAAAGATGACTTTAGTGTTTTGATAATCAAAGATTAAAATCATTATTGTCTAAATCAATAATCATAACGACAGAAGTTAATGTTTTTTCATCAGTGCTTTAAATCCACTTTTAAAAGTATACCTCAAAAATCAAAATATCAAAAAAAATTGGCCGATAGGTTTGGCTTTAATTTTTGTCTGCTTTTATGATTTGATATGGATGTTATAATTTTAAAAGTTGAGCCAAATTTACCAATAGATTTTTGAGATTTGCAAATACTCAATAATTTTCAGAGTGTTATCTTTTATTAAAAGAACTATTTGGTTTCAGTATCATATAAATTGATATTTACTTTCTATTTGAACCTTCATTTAGCTAATGATTTAGTAATACAGATTTATCTAATCCTTATAAGAGAATTTTGAATTTGTTATAATAAAAAAACAAACAGATATAGCTTACACTTCTATAATAAAGATACCTTTTATAGAAATCAGTATGAAATGTGTTTTGGCTTATTGGAAGCATATCAGACATAATCGCCATAATCAAAAAATCTATATACCCAATAAGTAATAAATTTGTCGATATAGATTTTCCATAAAATTAGTTTTTAGTCTGATCTTAAAATAAATTTAATTTTTTATAAAAAAATCACATTTAAAAGTACCTTTTTAGTAGCTCGAAATCCTGTTGGTGGATTTCGGGCGTACTTCAAAATTAGCTTTTCTTCTACATATGCAAGCTATATTTTAAATATGGAGCAAATCGGATCGGCGAAAGGAGTTTAGTTACCTTTAAGAATAAAGAAAATGGTAACGTAAATAAACGTATTATGAAATAATTTATAATTAAAATGAAAAAAAGAAAAAATAATAAGTAAAGTGACTGGAAATGAAAATTAAAATCAGTGTACAGTTTTATTTTTTTCTCGCTGTGAAACGTATTCGGTCTTTTTTTTAAAAATTAATTTTTTGTTAGAGATAAGAGCTAAAACTCGGTAAACAACTTCTTCATGTCTAGAAAATTCTCTCTTGCCTTTTATTTTTTCTCGCTGTGAAACGTATTCGGTCTTTTTTTTAAAAATTAATTTTTTGTTAGAGATAAGAGCTAAAACTCGGTAAACAACTTCTTCATGTCTAGAAAATTCTATCTTGCCTTTTATTTTTTTCTCGCTGTGAAACGTATTCGGTCTTTTTTTTAAAAATTAATTTTTTGTTAGAGATAAGAGCTAAAACTTTGCAGACAACTCCCCCATGTCTAGCAAATTTAACATTCGTCTCCCATTTTTATATATTTGGTTTAGAATGTTCGAAAATGCGTAATATGGTCATTAATATTAATTGAAAAGAACCTTGAATTAATTCAATCTGATCTCACAAAATATTTTAAATTACAAACTTTGTAGTTTGAATAGATAATTAGTATTAAACTCAAATAACTAGTTTATTTTGGAATAAAAATTATTTGAATTTATTCAATTTTGTGAATTTTCCTTCAAAAATCAAGTTTAAATATCTTATTTGCCATATAATTATAAATACAATGAAACATATTCGAAATTGAAAAGAATGACTTTTTCTGTTCTTTCAATCATTCAATTTGAATTTTGCAATATTGGATTTCTCATTAAATAGCTATTAAAAACAACAAGCAATTTAACTTACATTCAAATTTATTTGTGTTATATTCAATCTTCTCAAAACTTATAATTTTCGGCTATAGCATGATTGTATGCTATATAATATAATAAACCTATAATAGTATCATTCTTTCAATTATTTGAAGAGAAAACCGAAAAAATCTATTTTCGGTCTATAACAAAAACACGTTACTTACATGATTTTTGAAAGAATTTTTATAAAGCATTATAATCTTTGGGAACATTAAAGATATATTCTCATCTCATAAAATTTCCGAACCACAGTAAATGGCCAAAAATTCAATAGATGTAAAATTATTAATTTTTTGAGACTCGTTTTCAGCTTATATCGGCGTGCAGCTTCGCTATATCTATAAAACTAAAAATATTTTTTTCGTCATCTTTAATTAAATCAAATTAGCTATCTAAATTTCATAATCTTTACCCAGTTTTCAATGCTCAATTTTTAAAATGCATTTAAAAATGGAGCTTATATTGAAATGGGCTTAAGATTACTAAATTTTTGCAGACTTTTCAGAGAATTGAGCGGGAGCTCAATTCTCTGAAAAGTCTGCAAAAATTCGTATATTTTCGTGATTTACTTTTGACCATTTTAAATCGGTCATAGTTTACTATCAAAAACAATATATTATTCTATATAGATAACCATCCATTGTTAGTAATTTAAAATAATTTCTGGTTCAAATTAAGGATTATCTTCACATGATTAATTACTATTGTAAATATCTAGAGAACAATCAATAATATCAAGATTTTATTCACTGATGAGTTCAAGGTATATATTGTGATTTGCGTTTCGATAGCTCGCTTTAAAAAGTGACAAAATTTTTCTTATGATTGGATCCTACAAGCCTTGTAATCCAATTAACGAAGAAACAACTATTCTATTTCAGGCAATTTCCGAGAGATCTTCGTATTCACCAGAATCAAATCATGAAGCTTTGGTAGAATGCGCATTTTTGAAATATTGGTTAGATTTTATCGATTTTCATATTCAAAATATTCATGTATTAAATTGGCATTATAATGCTAGGAGGTTTTATGAAGGAATGATAACACATTTCGATGTATCGAAATTTAAAGATGAAGCAGAAAAAGAAAAAATGATACAAGAGTTTGCAGATTTTTCAGATTTAACAAGAAGGGATCTTGATGATATCTTTCATATTTATAAGAGAAAAGTTCTCGCCATATTTTTCTTAGAACCATTCGCATGTATATTCGGAAATTATCTCAATAAATTAATCAAAGATCTATTTGATCCTATTCATAAGTACCTCATAGATATACAAACAAATATTCTTGGACTTTGGGATCGTTACAAAGACAAAATTCGACCAGAATTTAAAGAAACCAGACCATACAAAGTTGCATTTGCTAAACATAATTTTATCAGAAAGATACCTGATAAACCACCTTTTCATTTCGAAATCGAATCAGATTACGATTCTCGAACTGACGAACAAAACTCATTACTTCCCGATGAATTATCAGAACCTATCCTTAAATATCGATCAGACGATGAAATAACCTGATGATGTCTAAGTAAAAATAATTTTTTAAAACATCTATTTTTTCCCCCTTTAATTCAACATTATATAACAAATCTTTTGAATCCAAATTATATCGGCTATTGAATTACCTATTAAAAAATAAATTTAATGAAATATGTATGAAACAATCAAAATTCACATATCTTCTATTGTAAAAACAAATAGCAATAGCATATGGATCATTTCAAATGGCGGTAGAGTACTCATTTGAGATTGTTGATACTGTGGACTCATCTGAATTTGTTGATATTGTGAATTCATTTGAGATTGTTGGTATTGTGAATTTATTTGAGATTGTTGATATTGTGAATTCATCAGATCTCGTTCTTGTGAAACCATCTCCTTTTGCAAATCAATCTGAGTAGGTTGATGAGAATCATTCTGATTCTTAATCTGGGAAAATTCAGAGGAGGATGTGTTATTCTGTAATTGACTCAATGCTTTTCGAAAAATAGAACTGACTCACGTGAAACTGTCTAAATGTTTGTCTTTTTGCTGCAATTCTATATCTTAGTAATATTTCATCTTATTGAACAAACGTTCAAAACCTTAGGATTTGGATCTTTTTCAAATTCATAGCAAAATCGAGTTTTATATCCAGAGATACTTTTGCACGTATTGTTTGACGTGACTATTAAATAAAAAGCCTTGCACGCTCGTTTTCGAAGAAAGAGTTATAAAATTATCCGGTCGTTTATCAAAAGTTTGCAGTTTTCGTTTATCAAAATAGATAATAATCTTGATATTAAGAAATATATCAGGTCTAAAAAATTTCTATCAAATTTTTGAATAGATTGTAAACCATTGTCTTTTTGATTATTTGCTTAATTAGTGTCAAATACCAAAAACAAGCAGTTTACATTTTTAATAAAATTTTTGCTCAAACTTGAATATGAGTTCGAAATCTGATAAAAAGATAGGTATTAAAAAGATAAAAAATCAAAAACCTACTATTCCTAGACTTACTCCATCGATTAGAATGGAACAGCCTCATCTTCTCGTTTCGCCTCTCAATTATCCAACATTTTATTTTTCAAAAAAGCGAGTTTCACCATTAAAACCATTTAAATCATTGGATAAAAGGCGTCAAATTTACCCTAATAACGTTGCCCCAAGCGAAGGAGATATTAAATTCGGTGGAAAATTTGAATCTGGCAATCTTGATCGAGTTTACAGAAGGGGTAACAATTCTTACGAAATACATATTGCACCTGATCCAAAACGTACGGCTCAATGGTTTTACTTCTCAGCTGAAAATATCAAGCCTGGAACTTATACTTTTGTCATCATTGGTTTTCATAGAGATACCGGTATCCATCACCATGGAGTTACACCTGTCGCTTTAAGCGAAAATGATAAGAGAATTGGAATAGGTTGGAAAAGAATCGGCGAGCAATTGAATTACTGGCTCAGCTCAAGTGGAAAACCACGTGAATATACTATGTCTTTCCAATTTACAGTCCACAAATTAGATTCGATGCATTTTGCCTATACATATCCTTATAATTACTCGGATTTACAATCTTTCTTAAGAACACTTCCATCATATGTCCACATAACAAGAAACATCTTTTCGCCAGGAAAACTTAACATTCCAATGATTTTTTGGGATGCAGACAATCAAATCTCATCCCAGCTTCCTGAAGATCCGAATCAGATTCCAGGCGGTCGAAAACCCCTTGCTATCATTGTTGCTCGCCATCATCCTGGAGAAACTTGCTCCTCTTATGCAATGGAAGGTTTTTTGCAGAAATTCTTTAATAAATCTGACAAAGAAGCGAACGAAATGAGAAATGAGTATTCATTCCTCATTATCCCGATGGTAAATGTTGATGGTGTTGTTTGTGGATTCTATAGACCAGGACTTAATGGAATTGATTATAATCGCGTCTGGAAAACCAAATCCAAGACAGAATTAGGTAGTTCTATATTAGATATCATTGATTCACTTACAAAAACACGAAAACTCGTTTTCTTCCTTGATTTTCATGGCCATGCAGGACTTTGGAATGCTTTTACATATACTTTGACAAATGATAAAGTTCCTTTGTCCGAATTATCTCCTGTATTTCCAGAAACGATGTCTAAAGTATGCCAATACTTTACTGCAACACACTCCTACATTTTAAGTCCACATGCATACGACAGAACAATGAGAGTTGCTTTACACCATCGATATAAAGTTCCTTTTGCTTACACATTGGAAATGTCAATTGGAGGCTCAACTTTGACTAAAGAACCAAACATGTTCACACCAAATGAATACAGAATTGTTGGGTCTTCAACACTTACAGCTATGTATGAAATGTTGCTCTTGAATGAAAACATCAAAGGAAAATTAGATTTCAAAGCAACAGAAATAGATGAAAATGTGGAAATAAAGCATGAAAAGAAGAAACATCACCATCATGGTAAGAAGCATCACTCAACAAATAATTCAGACTATGAATATAATGATATTGATGAATAAAAAAAAATTATATTATTGTTTTTTGAAATTAATCTCTATACTATGATAAGCACATCATGAAAGTAATGAATTCAATGATTTTTGAGTATGTTGTCGATTAAATAAAATTGCGATTAATAAAATTTTATCAATAGATCAACGATTATATATAAAAAGAATAGTTAGTTTCTAAACTATATATTTATAAACATATGAAAGCATAATTCTGATATAAATAATAACTTATACAATTGTTTCCGGTACGAGCAGCGACTTGAGAACTTTGTTATTAATGAGCTTATCTAACTTATTCTGATCTTCTCTCCTCTTCAAAATTGCGCTGCGTATATAATTAATAACATCTTGATCAGGAATTTTTTCTGCAACTGTCATAATAGTATTCTTTTGGCTATCTAGTACTTCACTATCACTTCTTAACTTGTAGAGCATGATACCCATGAGAAAATCAATTTATATTTTGTTTCTAACCATTTTGCAACAGCAAAATGATGAGCATTAATGGCAATATCTAGGAAGGAATTATCTATCTTGTTACTCTCGCATGCAAGGATGATCTTTGTATTGCCACCAATGATGGAACACTTGAATGAATTATCTGTTAATTTAATATGGTTTTCGAGAAGGAAGAAGAAGCAGTTCTGTGCTCCGTAGTATGCACAGGCATCAATAATTGATAGTTCTGGATAGTATGGCGAGTCTATCATAGTGATTTTGGCTGGAGGTGGAGTTGGATATTTGAAAAACTCTTTGAAGAGGTCAATGTCATCATTAAGGATCGCAAATTCGATAGATTGGAATGGATACACGTAGATAATCTCTTGCATAGACCAATCCTTTGCAAAATGAAGATTATTTTGACGCATTGCAAAAATATGTTCATTCATGATAGATTTTTCGGTATTTATATCTGTGTATCCATTTTCTTTCAATATATACCTAAGTGAATGCGATTTAATTGAAGGCATGATTTTCGTTATTTGGTACTTACTAATAAGCTGTGTACAAAAGCTATATATTGTTTCAAGCTCTTTGAGGTGGTATATTGCAAAGTATCCTAGTGCTTCAAAGATCTGATCAATATTGATGTAACCAGAGTCATAATTTTTAATTGTTTCAGCTAATATAATGTCAGCATTAGTAGAATCTAAGCACCAAATGGTTTCTATGGCATTCGCATGATTGATAAAGCTGACTGGGATGTTATGCATCTTTATTTTATTATGATTTGATTCTCAAAATTTTCTGAGAAACAATAATTTCCTTTTTATTTTTAATCAGAACATATCTGATAATAAGAATGGTAAATCGCGATCAAAGTCACTCTCAATTTTTTAAAAGATTGAATGGCTTAACGATCGCTAAATTGTGAATGTTTTTTTATCTAATTCAAATGGCTCCTATGAAATGTGATGATTTGGAATGTAAAAAGAAAAGGCATAAAGACAAGTGGTTATTATTTAAATTCCAAAAATCGCTAATTGAATGAATGCGATCCTTTCTATAAATTTTCCTCTTAAAATTGAATTGTAGTCAATATGATTTGTCTGTTTGGATCCAACTTAATAAAATTTTCCTATTAAAACAAATATCGGATATAAAATCGCAAATGCCCGAAATTGATTATTAGGATTAAATAGTTTTCACGCCATGCATTAACTAATTCGCATGCTGTAGATTTGATTGGCCCGTAAAATTTACGTTTTTGAACATTTCGAAATAAAAAATTATTCGGATCTATGGATTTTTAATCAAAAATTTGATTTTTCATTTATTTATCCGATTTACTAAATGTGAATGTTTATATTATAGTAATTTGGAACGGAATTGAAAGGTTTTTTATGGATCAATGTCTTAAGACTAAATTTTTTATTAACTTATCAAGTAGTCAGCATAAAAAATATTTTTCAATCAATAAAATAAATAAATATAAAAAATTATAAACATTTATATTGAAAATTTCGTTTTTTCCATACAGAGTGAGGTTAATATATATTATACAGTAGTTGGTGATATCAATTTTTTGGTTCTAAGCAAGGTCGGAACTTATTTTGATATTCCTGGATATTGTGATAACTAGAAGAGCCTCCGTTCTCAATATAAGCATGTTAACTTTGCAATTCGTTCATTAAAAAGTACAAGTTAACTGTATCACAGAACTCTAGATGGTTTTTCGAATAATTCTAATTGAAGGAATATCAGTGAAGGCACAACTAGATATCTAGAGCTTCTTGGTTGTAAAGACTCAATAAACCATTACAAGATATCATTTGTCATAATTATACGTTAATCATTCTACTCAAGATCTCGATTTGATGTAAAGGTAAATGACGTTTAGAAAAAACGTCAAAATATGGATTGCATTGATATTTCAACAGGAACATTAAATGATGAAGATGAGAATGATTCAGAAGAACCAGTTCAGCCATTAAATCAAAATAATGAACAAATAATTCAAGAGAATCAGTATCTTCATCACATGAATGAGCAATTACAAGAATCAATAACGAAAATGAAAGCTCAACTTCAAGATGCGCTTAGTGCTGTTGAAAAATCGAACTGTTTTACAGAACAAATTCAACAACTCAAAGATCAATTACAGGAAGCAAGAGCACTAAATGAGCAATATCAAAAAGAGATTGAGCAATCTAAATCCATGACTGTTCAAAATAGTAATGTAGAAAATTGCGCAGAAAATATTGTTATTACAGATCAAATCAGTTCCTTACAAGCTCAAATAGCAAAATTAAAGAATGAACGCACTATTTTCAAGCAAGCTGATGCCGAAAAGACTGAATACATAGATCTTTTATCAAATTCAATACTTAAATTAAAAAGCTTGAAGAAAAAGATGAAAAAGAAAATCATTTCATTATCTGAATCTAATAGTCAGATGAAAGATTTACTTAATGAAGCTGAGGCTAAAGCAAAGAAAGAAGAAGAACAAAAATCAAATTTATCATCAGAAGTTGAACAGCTAAAGGCTAGTCTCGAATCAAAAGATAAGCAAATTAATGAGTTAAGTATCAATGTTTGCCAATTGCACAATGAAATTCATGCAAAAGATACTGCTATCGAATTCATTCAAAAACAGATTGAATCTCAGATTGATGAAATGGCAGAATATGAAAACCAACGTAGTTTATTTGATGATATATTAGGAAAGATGAATAAAATGGCAGTATTGAGTGAAAATACAATCTTAGATTTAGAAGAGAAGCTAAAAGCAAAGCAACAAGATCAGCCAAAGAAAGAAGCTGAAAAATCCAATGTAAATATTTTCAATAAAGCAAACATTCTTGATCTAAAACTTCCGTTCCAGGGTGAAATTAAAGATGATCTTGAGAAAATCTTGAAACTTGTTCAGTATGATCCAGTTCAACGCTTACAATTGATCATCAACGAGTTAGCTAAGACAATTGAATCTATTACGAAAGAAAATTTCATTCAGAAGAAACAATTATCAAATCTTAATTCAAATCAGCCCACATCTTGTGAAGATCAAGGAAATTATAAGGAAATTCTTGCTTCTCTTATTACTTATTTGAGAAATTCATCGAATATTCCTGAAAATGGCGAAGATGATGAATTCAATAATTTCATTGCAGAAAAATTCTCTAATATTGATCAAATCATAGATGAAAAGATGAAAGAAGATGAGAACTACATAAATAATTCTTTCTTCATGGAGAAAGACATAGAAAAACGAAAAGAAATGATAACAAATCTTTTGACGAAAGATGATATTACAAGAGATGTTTTGATTGCACAATTCTTGATCAGCATGGATCACAATGAGCCTAAAAAGCCAGAAGAAACCGAGAATGCAAACGAAAATGAAAATAATGAAGAATCTGTCTTCGAAGAAAATCTCCCTCAAAATGATCTTCAAAATACAATCAATGAACAAGCTGAACAGATACATAAACTTAAGGAGACCAGGAGAAAGATGTATGACAACATAAAGAAGCTTCAAGCAGCTAAATTAGAGCTACAAACCAAAGATTCTGAACAAAAGTCAAAGATCAATGCATTAGAACTTGAAATAGATAATGTTCAACGCGAAAACAACATTCTTCAACTGAAGATAAACGTTTTGAATCATGATATCGCAATGAAAAATGCTCAAATAAATGAAGAGTTAGAAAAGAAAGATAATGAAAATAAAGACTTCCAAATGTTACAAGAGAAAGTTTTATCTCTTGAAAAAGACCTTCTAATTAAGACACAAGCTAATGAAGATCTTACAAATCAAATGCAGAAACTTCAAGCCAAACTTGATGCAAGTAAAAAGTCACATGCTAAAGCCACAAAGAAACTTGAAGATTCTTATATCAATAAGATTAATGAAATGGAAGGAAGGCTTCACGAAGTTGAAGAAAAGAGTAATTCTAAAGCTAAACTCATGAAGAAGAACTTAAATGGCGTTAAACAACAATACGAAGAAACAATTTCAACAATCACTAAGCAATATAATGATGTTAAAACATCACTTGAAGAAACAATTAAGTCCCTAAACACTAAATTAAGTGATCATAGATCAGACATTCAGAAATTGAACGAGAAGCTTAGAGCCGAAGAAAATCTTGTTGATCAATTTACAAAGCAAAATGAAATTTTGCGAAGCTCAAATGACCAAAACGAACAAGAACTAACTAGAATCAAAAACGAGTATGCAAAAGAGAAGAAAGCTCTTCAAGCTAAGATTACTTCCATCAATTTCACATGCGATGCACAGTTAAACGAAAAAGTTCTTTCCCTTGAAAGAAAATACAATACAAAGATAAATAGTTTCATACAAAACGTTTCTGAGACAATTGGAAAGTATTACAACATAAGTGAATCATCTCTAAATGAAGAAACAATGGGTCAGCTTCTTCTTCATGCTAAAGATGATTTAGACAAATTGAAATATTTCCAATCTGAATCATTAGAAAAAGCTCAAACAAAATAATGTTTTTATTTTATTTTTTCTGTTTATTTAAACGATTTTTATTGAAGGAACAATGATTTTTTACTAATTTATTCTCAATTATCAACCAAAAGTAATAGTTTCTCTATTATAATCAGCAACATAAGTTTAAATGGCTCTTTTTAGTAATTGTTAACTAAGAAAATGAAGATATTATTAAATTTATATGAGAATAATCAATATACTATTTTATCGGTTATTTACGAATGTGATTAAGCAAGGGATATTAAAAACTTCCTATTTGGTGTAAATAATGAGTGTCGATACAGCATTTCCGAGATAATTAGAAGAGAAATTCAAAAAATTTCTTGTAATTTCAATCAATAATAAAACTTCGCCGACAAATAATATTAGTTAGTGGAGCATATTTTATCTTCTAGTATTATGGCTCCTTGAAATGAAGAGGCTTTTAGATAGGAAATGGAAAACAAATTTGACAATTTGCCAAGGATTGACAAAAATGTCACGAAAATTTTAAAAATATGAAAGTAATTTGGGCAACTTGAAGCAGAGAAACAGATGCGACAATGAAAAATATCAAGAGAGAAAAAAATCTTCAATAAAAATTGTAAACTATAAAACCGCTGACCGAATTATTTAGAAATGCAGTGGAATATTTTTAGGTACATTGCAGATTTCACACATCTTGCCTCAATTGTTCTTCTTCTATACAAGATGTTCTCGAGGAAGACATGCGTCGGCGTTTCCTTAAAAACACACATTTTGTACTTATCAATTTATCTCTTCAGATACTGCAATCCATATCTTTTTGATCCACCACTCTACAACATATTCTTCAAATTCACATATATCATCTCATCTATTGTTATCATCGCTTTAATTTTAACAAAATATAAGAGAACTTATGAAAAGCGCCACGATAACTTCAGAATCATCATTATCTATATTATTTGCCTCCCACTTGCATACTTCACATCTCCATCAAACAGAATTTGGCAATTGACGAATTGCTACTCCCTCTGGCTCGAAGCGTTTGCAATTCTTCCACAACTCTTCCTTATCAGCAGATCTCGTAAGGTTGATGTTATGAACAAGGAATATATCTTCCTTCTTTCTATTTACAGACTCTTCTATTTGATCAACTGGATCTACAAATACTTCACAGAGACTGGTTCCACAGCCACATACGTCTGGATCACAGGTATCCTCCAGACAATTATCTACTCAGATTTCATCTACACGTATATTAAGATGAAAGTCCAAGGCGGAGAATTCGAACTTCCTTACTAAATTTTTTGAGAGTAAAAGTGATAATAATTTATATCTTATAAAAAAAATCATTTACAAATAATCGTAATTTCCTTTTTTTCAATAAAAATCATCAATTTTGAGATAATAATTATGAGTTGCCTCTTTAAAAATTGATCGTTGTTTCGGAATCCTATTTTTTATAAAAGAACCAAATTTTTATTTTAAAAATACAGAACAATTATTATAGTAATAAAGTTAAACGTTGTTATCAAGAAAATCTTGTATCTTTTTAGTGGTAAGTGGATCGATATAATCTAAATCAACGGTAATATCATCTTCAGAATCTTGACAAATGTAAATTTCGTATCTTTGGAGGATATCCATAACGTTTGTAACATGCCTGTCTGAATCGAGGCTTCTGAGGCGCGAAACTGTTAAATCTAAATCATCTTGAGTAAGCTGAGGAGCTTCAAGCTTTGGAATATCCAAAATTGGTCTTATTTGCTCAAGATGGTCAGCCTTCATAAGTTCCTGAAAATCTCTCAAATTGTCAGGAAAATGAGGCATCATTTCGTGAAGTTTGTCACTTGCTTTAGTAATCATATCCATTATCATCTTATTCGAAAGTAAACGTCTTGATTTAATTTGGTCGTCGATTTGCTGTAATAATGTCGCAAGGCTGCAGCCGAGTTCGGTATTTTCACCAATAGCACGAATACAATCGTTGAAAGAAATGGTAAGAGCATCCAACCACTGTTGAGATGATTTAAAGTCGCCTCTTTTAAGAGCTTCTCTGCAACCATTAAATAACGTTGCAAATTTAGAATTCGGAGGAGCATTTTTGAAACTCTTTTCGACAAATTGACCTATTGAGGAGCCTACAACATTATCATATATTTTCAAACATTGAGACATCTCAGTAAGATCCATGATTTTTAGACTTTTTTTTTCTTTTTGACAGATTTTTTTTTGTAAACTTACAAAAAAACAAAATCAAGATGATAAATAAGAAAGATAAAAAGAATAGCGCCATAATTAAGGGTTTCGTTTTGCGAAAAAAACGTACAATACGCAATTTCGCTAAAAAAACATTTAGCTAGCAATTTCGACATTTGACTCCACTCAAGACGTCACTTTTTTAATTTTGCGGTATCATATTTTTGGAAAATCTTTATGAATACTATATAAAAAGTCTCTTTAATATCTATATTTCATATTTTTATCGATTTTTAAAGTTTTTGCGAAAAGTATTCAATTATTTTTGCTATTTTGTCGGGTAAATGTCAGATTTGCGACATTTTCTGATATGATATTCAGATTCTACGTTGATAATAATGCTTATAGAACCCTCTTGCTATTGTGTCAAAATTGCGAAACCGATAGCAAAAATATCTCGCAATATCAAAATTGAGATATTGAGTGAATTATGCATTATAGAGATTAAAAATCTGATTTGTGAAAACATCTCATCAGTTTCTAGCTAATTCAAAAAATCTTTACTATTTTATTCGATTAAAATGAAAAGGGAATAGTTTCATTATGCTTTAAATGACAGCCTTATAATATAATCATAGTTTTCGCTCAATATGCAGCATTTTTTTTTCGAAATCTATGGTCAATATCCTAAATACTGATTGCTTTGCATTCATATCTCTTACATTTTCTATACCCACATCACTATTCATTGCTATTCCTATCTTTTTCATTTTTGTTTGTTTCTCATAATTTCTCAAAAACATGATAACTTGATATTTGTAAATATCATACTTTATAACGTAAATAAGAACTTGACCTATTAAGAAAAGCAGTAATGAAAAGAAAATCTGAAATTCATAAAAATTACAAGTTTCTGATGACAATTAGCTTAATTAAACCAGGTACAAGATTATATAATTGTATTTTCTATCCAATTATCCATATAATATCTTATCCAGAAAAAATAACTTGATCAATACCAAATGATTTTTTAACTAGTAAATAAAGTATTTTCTTTACACACACATTGTATATCATAGTTTTTTTTTGGTTTCGCAAAACATCCAAAAACAAATATGCTATAAAAGTGACAATTTTAGCAAAACGAAACCCTTACCATAATTTAAAAACTATCATTGAATACCAAATCTTGCATTAATATGGAAATAAATTTTCTAAGACAGTCCATTAATAACACATCTATACTGTCTCAAGACTAGTGATGAAAATGCACCAGCCTAATTCATATAGATTGATTTCAAATAAAAATAATTTTGTAATTTTAACATTTATTAAATAAAAACAAGGGTAATTTCTTATTGTAATAATTGTATGTTATTTCACCTTTGCGCAGCCTTTGGATTGAACAATCATGTATTCTATAAGTTTTGCAACGAGCTCTTCGTTTGAAGCGCGCCTATTTTCTACCCACTGTTTGATTTGAGGTGTTAGCTCATACTCTCCAAATGAATGAATAATAGAAGCTACAGCAATTGTTTCTTGATTCAAATGAAGCATAGATGGAGATCGTGTACAGAGACACAAATCACGTATTATTGAATCGGTTATATTTGAAACTACTTTTTCGTCATAATTTAGTCCTTCAAAAAGATTTCCGAATTTTGTCAAGTAATAAAAGGAAAGATCCATGTTGAAATCCCATTTTATTGCATTTAAGAGGCAAATTTCTATTTCAGCTATCATATTCTTTTCTGCATCAGAAAGTTTTGTATCATTGAAATCACGGTTTCCCATAACAAGCTGAACAAATTTCTGTGGTATATGCTTTGTAATAGCTATAGATGTTTTAGCAATTTCTTGAAAGATTAAATCAATAGGACGATAATAATCATAAACTTTTGTGGCTAAGAATAACGATGTTGTAAGAAGCATGTAATTTGGATAAGGTGTTTTCTCCGTTTTTTCGTAATAATAATGAAGATACAAGAAACTCGAAGCAACACACGGAGAAACGGAAAGTCCAAGATTCCTACGAGAAAATGTGACTATAGTCCATGCAACTTCGCTTGTTTTTTCGGTCCATACCCTTTCGCGTGGGTATAAAATCTTTCCTTCAGTCATCTTTGAATTGAAGAAAAGTGACACTCGATAAATCATTGAGAAGATTATAAGAACTCCAGAACATTCAATCGGCGTTATAGGGAGTATGGTGTGAACCTAATATAATCGAATATGCGAGCTATAGAAAAAATGGAGACCAACTTAGGAATTGAGTGGAGTCAATAATTTTTATTCAAAATATTTTATAGCCCTTCAAGTTATTGAATATTTTTACATTGGTTCCTTTTTATTCGTTTCAAATTTTTAATTGTTTTTGAAAATCAAAGAATACTAGACATTTCTACGAAAATATTATAGCAAAGAGGAAATATAAAAGAATTCTACAAGTTTATTTTTCCAAAAAAATCACAAAATTTGGATTTTTTGTTGAATTTTCTAGAAATTTCATTTTATTTTTGAAAAAACAAAAAAAATTTTGGAATTTTTCCAGAAATAATTAGATGTATATAGATAATATAAAGTCCAATATTATAATTTCTTTCAAAATTATCTGTTTTTATTAATATTTTAGATTTTAATTTCTTTATTAATGCCCAAATTTGGGCTATCAAGCAGACTTTATCCATTTGTCTCGAAAACAATAAATGTGATCAATCAATATTTGATTGATCCTGAATAGAAAAAATTATAAAATTTATTATATGATAAAAAAACACAATAATGATAAATCTTTAGTAATAAAAATCACATAAAACAGTGATCTTTCGCTAGTTGTTCGAAATCATGGTAAATTGAAGAGATGTATCTCGTTCTATTTCTTTCTATTGTTCTTCTAAATATTTCTGGGTTCTTTGATGATGTATCCATTGAGAAGTAGCAAAGGGATGCGTTAGTGGTCAATGCCTGCGCAAAATTTTCTGAAATTTCATCTAAGTTGTTCTGAGTAATATCGATATCTCTAAGTCCGTAATTATTCGCGATAGCTTCAGAGATCATCAATCCGAGCTCTGGTGTTAAGCTACAATTCGATAATTTCAATGATTTCAACGTTCTGTTATTTTTAATCATTCTTACAAGCGAATTAACTGATTTAGGACCAAGCGCGTTTCCACCTACAATCAGACGTTTGAGCGTATGGCTTGTTTCTGCTAAATCGAAGATAGATGACATTGTATCTTTATAAGGATCGGTTTTATTATTAGAAATATCGAGTAATTGTAATGAAAATGATTTGCTGAGTCTGTTTGAGAAGTTTTGAAGTTCTTTTTCTGAGAAAGAGTTATAACCTATTTCCAAGACTTTCAGTGTCTTATTTTTATCCAGGAACTCAGTAAGGCTCTGGCACGATTCATCGTCTAACTCTGTATTCTTCAAATTCAGCTCTTGGAGGTAAAGATTGTTTTGTAGAGCGTGGAAAAGGGCCCAAGCGCCAAATGACTTAACGGGATTGTTGCTGAGGTTAAGAGACCTAAGCGTGCTTTGGTGCATCAAAGCAACAGCTAATTGTGCAACATCGTGCTGTCCAATTGATGTATTTGACAAATCAAGGGACTGCAGGGACATCTGACAATCAATTGATTTAGAAATCGTAGTAACACTATCGAAATTTAACTCGCATTTCGCTAAAGAAATCGATTGAAGAGAAACAGCTTTTCTTATTGATGGAAACAAGTTATCTATAAACATAGTCGTAAGCTTATTATCATTAAATGATACTCGCTTGATTTTAGCATTTGGATTTTCGATTAATAATTTTACAGCGATTGCGCAGTTATTTGTGAACTTTCCTGCTAAAGAAAGCTCTTCAATAACGTTATTTTCATCAAGTGCATCAACTAGATGACAAGATGACATAGCTTCGAAGCCAACTCCTTCTAAAATCACGCTTTTCAAGTATGGATTCAAACCAATCACGGAAACAAGGTCCTTACAGGCAGAGTCAGTAATTGGATTTGATATTAAAGCGACCTGAGCGATAGGACACTCTTTTTGAATCACTTCTGTAAGAAATCCACATCCATCAGGGCCAATCTTACCATTAGCAACTTTAAGCTTTAAAGGAGGTCTGTCTTTTGGAGCAGCGAGCATAGCTTTGGCAAATTCGTTCATATCATAATCGCTTACAGGGCAATCTTGAAATCTAATGGATGTAATCGTAGGTCTTTGGACAACAAATGTTAAAATCTGATGAATGTTGCATAATTCTTTCGAAAGGAATGTTAATTCTTGGATATGCGAATTTTGAGGCAAATTTTCAAGAATTTGATTAATCTGTCCTTCCGAACCTACAGATTGAGGTATAATAAGACTTGTTTCCGGTGAATTCCTATCTAATATCTTTTTCATTACCCTACTAAAATCATTACTCATTTTTTTAGGGAATTTAGTAATAAAAAAGTGACATCTTTTTTTTATTATGATAAACGCAAAGCAATTATTAAAGAGATCGAATAGAACATTAAGGAAAAATGAAACAGTGAACGACGCTCTTGCTACATTAACACATCTTCACATGAATGACTTGAAAATAACTGATATGCCCGATATGAGTTTGTATTTTTCCGCTGTATGCTTATATGCATATGACAATCAGATCACAAGTCTTAAAGGAATCGAGTGCCTGGCAAAATTAGAAGAACTTCAAGCACAAAATAATAAAATTACAGAAATACCACCTTTAGGCCCATTCCAACTCATGAAAGCTGATTTACGCAACAATGAAATATCAGAAATCAAAGGATTTGATAATCAACACTTTATTTATGAATTATATTTGTCACGCCAACGTGTTCCTGAAGTAGTTTTAACACAGAACTGCTTTATATCACTTGCCGAATCATTAGAAGTACTTGAAATGGCAGAATGTGGAATTTCCAATTTAGAAGAATTTTACTGTCTTTATCACTTACGAATCTTGAATTTATCAGGAAATAAGATCGATTCTCTCGATAAACTTCAAGAATTACTCGCTCGTCTTCCAGAACTAGAAAAACTCGATTTGACAGGAAATCCTGTTTGTTCAGAGGTCAAATACCGCGAAAAAGTCATTGTCATGGGTAGATTTACCGAACTGGATGGAAAGGACATCCCAGAAACTCAGAGAGAAACACTTATCCGAATGGCCTCAAGAAAAATCGCAAAACCAAAGGCACCAAAGAAAGAATTACCTCCTTCAAATTTTGTTGTTCATCATTATTAAATAAACTTTTATTGTTGGATAAATAAATATATACATGGAACGCTGGGCGCAAAAAGTGACAAAATCTATATAATGGTGAAGGAACCTAGAAGAGTTCCTTTCATTCTACGCTTTCATTGAAAGATGCCTCTATTTTGCCCGAAAGGTAATTATTTCGTCAACATATAAAAAATTTTGAACTTGATTATATTATCAACATTATTTTGACGAAAACGAGAAACAGAGATATTTAAACTTGTCCATCGATTTACTCATAATAGAAGCGAATAACAACATTACAATTTCTCTTTATTACTGAAGCAAATTCATCATTATTTTTATTGATTAACTAAAAGTTAGTTTGTTTGCTCATCGAATATTCTTTTTAAAAGTTTCTAATCTAGTTTTTATATAATACGCTATTTAAAGTCGACATAAGAAAACCATTAAATAAGAAACCTTACCTTTGGTTCGAATCTATCTATTTTATGAGCCAATGGCACATCTTATTTATAAATATTTAACAAAACTGTAAACTCTTTTTGTTTAAAAAATTGCTCATATTATTTCGCGTTTTTGGCTCTAAAATTTGTAAGGGAGAAGGGTCTAAGTAAATTTAATCGTCACCTCCTCCACTGGGGCTCTCCGGTGGAGTTATGGTCACCAAGTGGCACCATATATTTTCCCTCCATTGTTCCATGTATAATTTATAATAATTCATAATGACTTAGCAAAATGTACATTAATTGATAGCGAAATTTTGATTTCTGATATTTTTCAGATTTTTTGTAAAGTTATGAAATTTTAAAAATGAGCCAAAGTATTTCTCTGAATTTCGAATACATTGGTGCTCACATCGATGATTATATTCGAAATCAAAATCTTTTTGATACATTCGATCTCGAAGACATCAAAACAATCATGAAATATTCCAAATTAACCACAACTCAGTTCATTTCTCTTCTCAAACAATCATCACCAACTATCAGCGCCAACAAATTATATAAATGTACACGAAATGCGAAAGTTACAATCCAAAACATCGACGAGGTCTTTTCAATTCTTAAATCAGTCAAAAAATACATGAAATTCAAAGTATTTGATGGCATCATTGATTTTTAAAAGGTAAATGGTAATGAAATGCGTAAATCTGCAGAAGAAATCACAAAACCTCAAGAACAAATCCAATCTTTTCAAATTGAACAGAATCAAACACAAGAAAACATTAATCATTCACGAGATCTTTTAAATAAAATCTCATCACTTAAGGAATCTGATGATTTTGATAGTGTTTACAAATTCTTTGAAGAACTTTCTTCTAAAGGCAATCGCGAAATTATCTCAAAGGCTTGTGAAGAAGGACTTTGGAAGAAGACAAACTGGCTTAAAGCTAATGTACTTCATGTTGCAAGTGACAAAAGAAATCTTAATCTTGTCAAATCACTTATTGAATGTGACTGTGATAAAGAAACAAAGTCTAATAATGGATGGACTCCACTCATTTATGCATCATATGATGGTCATCTTGAAGTTGTTAAATATCTTATCTCAGTTGGAGCTGATAAAGATGCAAAGAATAAGTATGGAAAAACTCCACTCATTTTTGCATCACAATATGGTCAACTTGAAGTTGTTAAATATCTTATCTCAGTTGGAGCTGATAAAGATGCAAAGAGTAAGTATGGAAAAACTCCACTCATTTTTGCATCACAATATGGTCAACCTGAAGTTGTTAAATATCTTATCTCAGTTGGAGCTGATAAAGATGCAAAGAATAAAAATGGATGGACTCCACTTTACATTGCAAAAAGTAATGTAAGAGATTATCTAATATCTATTGGAGCTAAGTAATCTAATCAGATAATTTTCAAAACGCGATAATGGTACTTCCATCACATTATCATCATTTAAAAGCTTGTAATTCTATATCAGATAAACAGATACGAAAAGTAAAATCTCATATGTATATAATTTAATATTAACAATAACATTTTTGTTGAGATTATAAGTATTCAATTTTTGAAAAACATATTTTTAAGGGTCCACAATCCGGCCAAGCGAAGGCTACCGTCGTTAGAAAAAAAATGAGTTTCGAGGTATTTTACCAAGGGTATACCTTATAAATCGAAAAAATTTAGCAAAATACAAGTTTGGCCCATTTTATTACAAAGCATAATAGAGCATGATTCCAAAGTATCACGCTTCAAATCTATTCTAAGGTCTGCAATCAAATTTAATTCTCTATATTATTTCAGTTCTTGTTTATAAAAATAAAATAAATAAAGAAGCTTTCAATTTTGAATATATTAAGGAAATACACTTTAAATTGTGAGTTGTGCAAAATATGATATCATTTTTCCCCTCTGATAGCAAAGTATCCTTTTCTTTTTGAAATTTCAAAAATGATGGTTTTTCAGAATCATAAGACTTAAGAAATTCAATCATTTCTTTTGATCCATTTAACATTGCATAATACAAAGGAGGTAGACCGAAATGATCTCTTGAATTAATGTTTGCTCCAAATGATAGTAGAAGATTGCCAATGTTGACATTATTGCTCAGAACTGTATAATTGAGGGGAGTCCAACCATCATTATCTTCGATATTTGGATTAGCATTATTTAAAAGAAGTAAATTTACAATTTCTTCCAAATTTTTACCTGCTGCTATATGAAGTGGAGTTTTTCCTTCTATATCTCTTTCATTGACATTTAGGCCTTGTGCAATAAGAAATTGGACAATTTCATTTCCATTTTTATTTATGGCATAGTGAAGCGCAGTTTTCTTGTTCTTATCCCTGGCATTAATGTCCGCTCCATGAGTGACAAGCCATTGAAATGCATCAGTATTACAATTTTTCGCTGCAATGAGAAGAGGTGTTGTATTTGCATAATCCTTTTCATCGATTTTTGCACCATGTGTTAAAAGAAATTCCAAATATCTTACAGTGTTGTGTTTTATTGCATAAAAAATAGGAGTTTGTCCACCATTATTTTTTGTATTTATATCGGCACCATAAGTAAGAAGCAATTCTGTAATTTCTATTGAATCACATATAGTTGCTGAAAACAAAGGAGTAGCCCCATTTAGACCGGGGAGATTTACATCAGCCCCATTTGTTATGAGGATTTCCATAATTTCTTTGTTACCAGCAAATGAAGCATACATAAGAGGTGTAATTGAAGTGTCATTTTTTGCATTAACATCTGCACCGTTTGAAATCATGAACTCTACTATTTCTCCTTTATTTTTCATTACTGCATAATGAAGAGCAGTTTCTCCATTTCTGTCCTGTTGATTAATGGGAACACCATGTGAAATTAGAAACATAACAACTTCTTTACAATAATATTCAAAAGTATAGTTAAGATAAGGAAATTCTTGAGAATCCAAATCTATGCCATATGAAACTAGAATGACAACCATTGAATATAAAAATTTTTCAATTGATGTATGAAGAACAGTTTTGTTTTGATTATTTTTAGAATTTAAATTTGCTCCTTTTGAGATAAGATATTTCACAACATCGCAATTATATGATTTTACTGCATAGTACAGAGGAGTATTTCCATCATTGTCTTTCATATTTATATCGGCACCATATCTAATTAGCATTTTGGTAGTATTCATTAATCCATTTTCTGCAGAATAATGAAGTGCGGTCAATCCCTTGCTATCTTTTGAATTGATGTTTTTGATTTTTGAAATAAGACATTTTAGAACATTTTTACATTTATTTTCTGCTACAGCATGGAGAGCATTTTTTCCCTGTTCATTTGTAAGGTTAGCATCGGCTCCATGCGCAATTAAATATTTTTCAGATTCGAAAATATTTTCGCTGGCTGCATAATGAAGAGCTGTACATCCCAAATTATCTTGAGCATTGACATCAATTCCATTTGAGATAAAATATTCACAAAGTGAACTCATAGCAAACAAAGGAGAATAAACAAAACATTTTTTCATATTCTTTGTTTGATCTAAATAAATTAAAAATGCTTGAATATTATTGTGGATAGCACAATATTCTAAATTAATTTCTACTTTGTATTCATTCATGAGAAATGTTACAAAATCAATGTTATGTGAAATAATAGCATATTTCATACATTTTTGGTTTGGTCTTTGTACTTTCAAACATTCATTCATTATATCAAGATTTCCGCTTAAAAATGAGAGTTCAAGACATTGTTCGGTGATTACTGATTTAAATTCTGTTCTTAGGAACTTAAAACAATTAACAGCTCCATGAATACAACAAAATTCCATCAATGTGCATAATATATAATCAGATGATGTGAAATAATGCAATTCCGTATGACTTTGATCAAAGCCTTCTCTCTCTGTAAATGAAACAAATGACTTTATATCATCATTCATTATTGCTTTGTAAATAGTATTTTTATTAAGAGGATCATAATGGTTGCTCCATTTTTTATAATCATTTATTATTTCTTGATCAATACCTGGATATTCATGATTCAATTTTTCGAGGATTGTCAAATACGAATAGTATTGATAAGAATTTGAAAGTGGAATAGATGAAATAATGTTAACAATCCTATTTGGTTTGAGCAATGTAGTATCAATTAAATTTATTTTGATGTTTTGGTATGTTCTTCTTAACTCTTCTTCATTTGTTGTTTTAAGATTGTATAATGCTGTAATTGTATCATGGTAGCCTTTATACTTGCCCATTAAAACACTATAATGATTCTGAAAGTTAGACTCTTCAAACATCCAATAAAATAATGAAAAAATTTGAATGCCATTGAAAATAAAATCTGTTGATATTTTCTAATAAATCTCTTTATAAATGCATGACTATATTGTTTATAATGATATTTAAGGGGGAAAAATGTTGTAATTTGAAAACGATAAAATCAATTTGCAAAAATCAATAAAATGTGGACATTTATTCCATCAAATCAGATGTATCCAGCTCTTGAACTTTTCCCAAACTAAAATCTACATGAGTAAATTGTTGAAATCCCTTCCTTATTATATTTGACACTTGAATTCAAAAATTGACAATATCTAAAATTCTAAAATCACATACATTTTTGTGTTATAACAAATATGTAATTTTCTGTGTTTTATTTTGATTGATGTCACTTTTGAATAAATTTGTAATGGGAACTGAATACGACCAAAAACTTTATAACCAATTAATGGAAAAGTACAAAGAATATGATGAAGTGTTGGAAAAGTTATATAATATCAAACCAGAGATCGTTGAAGATCTTTTCATCAAAATCAAAAATGTATTGAAAAAATACAAAATGTATCCAATATTTTTTATAAACGTAATTGCTACTTTTCTACAATATAATTCATATGCAGCTGAATCTTACTGGACCATTGTCGATATGCTTATGAAAGAATACAAAATAAAAATCGGACAACAAGCTTTGGAGTATCCAGGCAGATTAAAGATATTATTAATGCAGAATTACCCAAAGAAGTTGTTATTTCTTAAAAAAATGCAGTTCAAAGTCAAAGATATTTTTATTCCTAATACTGATAAAACAATTGAAGATCATTTTAAAAATGATGATGTCAGTTATTTTAAAGATAAACCCATACAATTCCTCATCAATTACTTTAATTTATGCATCAAATTAGGTGCAGTATCATGCTACAAATACTTTAAATCTCAAGGCCTTCAACCATGTTCAGACAATTTAGAACAAGCGATTGTTGGAAGAAACAAAGAAATTCTCATTGATGTGATCGAAAATTTGCCACAAAAATGTTTTATGTTCACAAAATATGAGCAAATAAGAGATCTTGAACTTATTCAACTTCTTGAGAAACATAATCAGACATTTGATGCATCTTCAACTGCAGACTATTATAACTTGCCTGGTTATTTGTATTTGTTATCAAAAAAAATGCTAATTTGAATGAATTAATGGCTTATTGTCCAAAATTCCAGATCCCAAGTTTGATTGATGATATAATCCGTCTTGGCTGAAAGCTGGAGGATGTCAAAGAAAATACTCCTTTGGGAATTGCTGCAGGTGAAAACGCTTGTGAAATAATGAAGAAATTGTTCAAAATGGGCATTGATGTGAATCAGACTGACAGTTTAAAGAAAACTGCTTTGCATTTGGCAGTTGAACATGACGCATTTGAAGCTTGCAAATTACTTTTTAAGAAAGGTATAAACCAAGATCAAAGAGATTCTGAAGGCTGCTTCCCTGCTCATTACACACTTGAAACAGAGAACAAAAGAATGTTGTTATTCTTAATGGAGAAAGGTTACACGCCTGACTTTTGCGCATTTGAGTTGGACATCGATTTCGTTCATAATTATTATGATAAGTTTTATTATAAACATCACAAGGATGAAAGAAGAAGAGGTTGGGTATTTGTCGGATATTAAAAATATTTATATAAGCTTTTGTCTTTGCCTGAACAAATCAGTATTTTTGTAACAGTTTAGTATACAAATAATGAACTGCAAATTCATATTATATTACTTCAAGATCTCAAGAATGAATATGCTAATGAACAAATAATTTTCAAAAAGGAACGCTTATAAATGAAATATGGTAACTGTTCATTGATATTTTCAAAAATTTTAATCAAAAATTCGAACATTTCAAGCAATTTTTATTGAATTTCTATCTACCATTTATACATATATCATATATATCTTATTTGCGAGGACACATTATAATGTGTCTCAATTTTATCGTTGAACGATAGAATTTGACAGCCATTTTCTTTTTTAGGAAGAAGAAGTAGTATGTATTTTACCGTTAGAGTGATTGCTTAGCTTTGAAGATCACAATCCAGCTCATCTGAATTATGATGAAGGAACATCCGAGCTCAACACTCTAACAAAAAAATTTAAACAAAAAAACTAACACACAGACTTATTATCTTTTCAAGCAACCATTTCAGTTACGTTTGGCAATACATTTGGCCTGCTTTCTAGGTTCAAATTGAAGATGTTTTTATCTTGATAGGAGATTTTGTTCAAAGTCACCTATTTACAGGATTAATCCTCATAATAAAAATTACTTTTATGTCAATTTCTATTATTTTTCTTTATTTTGAGTCTCTAAGTATATATTTTTTAATATTTTTATCTGTATGTCTCTTTTGACAGCCTTGAATTAGACAATGACCCGAGTTACACTTTAGTGTAAATGTTTTTAAACTAAATAATGAAGTTTGGGAAAAAATTATTGTTCTGTAATGAGAATAATAAGAGAAACCAATCAAAATAACACTTGACACGAGAATATATATGAATATGCTTAAATATTTGTTAATAAATTTGTAAAATAAAAATATTATTGCAAAAAATTAATTAAAATATGAATAATGATAATAAAAACTAGGCATTTGAAAGCAAAAAACAACATAGTTTATTTTAAATTTCAGGTTGAGGCTCCTTGAGTTCGATCTTAAATTTAGTCAAACCAGACACTCCCAATTGACCAAGTGTATCACTTATCTGGTACTCTACGACATTTCCATTCGCTGCATGCATGATAACAATCTCTTTTCCGGCAGAATCTGGGTAATCGTTCTTCAGCTTCTCAAAAAGTGCTTGAACGGTATCGTTTGTCCACATTAAGTATGTGAAAGCCTTTCCGTCCAAATGTAAAGCGACTTTGCACTTTGAACCGTTTCCTGATGGTTTTGGAGCTGGTTTTGGCGCAACTGTTGGGGTATAAGTGGTTGGTTGAGAAATGGAGTTGGTAGTTTTCCTTTGGTTCTGAATTTTTGCTTTAATTTCGGCATATCTCCTTAATTGTTCGTCTCTTTCACGGCGCTTCTGCTCTGCCTCTCTGAGTGCTTGCTCTGCTTCCCATTTCTCGCGTTCTATCTCTTCTGGTGATCGTTGGTTGAAAGATGATTTAATATTTCCAGGAATTTGGGGCAAATTGCTGTTTTCTGATGAACATGATATAATATAGTCTTTAACTGCCTGTAAATTAGCAAGTTTACCGTCATTTATATAATTAAACGAGTCAGAAATTGGAATATAATCAGAAAGTAAGTAGAAACACTCCAAAAGTTCCTTGTTCTTTTCTGCTATTTTAGATTCGCACTCCTGGTAGAAGTTTAAGCTTTCTAAGATCTTACTTTCGTCATATTCACGATAATCTTTTGTAATTCTGAAAGAAACGTCTTCTGCCACTTCAAAAGTTGATAAGAATTCGACAATTTGCCTTTGTATACCATTTAACTTCTTCTTTGCAGGTAATTCCGGCTTTGAAATGTTTGATTCTTGATTTTGAGATTCTTGCTGTTTTTCATCTTTCTCTTCGACATTATCTGGTATTTCAAACGCTCCAGAGTTGATTTCATTACAAATAAGCTGAATTTCGTCAATATTGAGATCAATTTTTCCGATTTTTTCTAGATAGTCAAGTAATTTATCAATCATCTCTTCAGATTGAAGCATTTCTAAAAATATAATGTCTCCTCGTACATCAGATCTTCTTTTTGGATCCAATTTTGGTATTTTTCTTTTAACAGGCACAGGAGCGGGTATTTCCTTCTTTTCTTCAACAACTGTAGCCGGTCGAACTGGTGTAGAAGCTGCTTTTACCATTGTTGCATTCTTCTGTGCTTGAAGAACCATTTTTTGTAAATAATCCTCATCATTGCCTTCTACTTCAATTGTATGAGCCTTTCCTTGGAAATCACTCGGTTGGTTCTTGTTTAGTAGCTTGAGAAGCTTGTCAAAATCTGCCCCAAAATGTCTATCTTTTTCTTCGCCTTTTAAGTAAATTATAACAGTAGGTGATAAGAATACAATGTATTTCTTTATACAATCTGGTGACGTATCGATCGGAATCAAGGCAAAAACACAATTAGAAAATTCGGATTTTTTTTCTAATTGAAGATAGGACTTAACAAAGTTACTATCCTTGTCTTTGTTCCAAATGAAACACCCAACAACAAGCTTTCTCTTCTCTTCCTGCACTAATTTATCAAATCGATCTGAGTTCATTTTTTCCCTTGAAATTTTTGAAAAAATTTTGATAGATTCCAAAATTTTGACTAACAAATGTTTAAATCGTCTATGTTAAGTAAATCATAATATTTTCCCCAGAAAATTTTACAGAATATTTAATCAAAATTATGCCATTATTTTTTTAATTATCTGTCCGTATTATTCAGAATTTTCAATTATATTTCAATTAAAGGCGTTATATTAATAAATGAAGTTTAAATCATCATAATTATTATATTTAGTCATTCATTTATGCTCCAAACACTATCTCGTTATGCTATATATGAAAAATCTTAAATCTATTATATGTATCTTACAACTTGATGCGATTTTATATAAAATTGGAAAAATATTATTTAAAACTACTGTGAAGCGTCATTGAAAATCAACCTCATAGACGAGAATTGATTTTCTTGAAAAAAAAGGGCATTATCATTTTCGTCTGGAAAAAGTGACAAAATTATCATTTTCGTCTGGCATCTGAATTATTGAACTATAACTCTATTTCTATTAATTTAAGCGCAATCCACCCATACACAACTTTATTTAATAGCTCCTTGTGCACGTTATCATTCTTGTCCCAACTTCAAAGTGTTTCATATTTTGTGAATTTCGACTTAATTTTTTTAGCGTAGTCAAAATCATAAACTCAAACGTAAAATTTGAGAATGTGAAAATAAGCAAATAAAATTTATACAAATAATAAATAAATAAATTAATAATAAAAAAAATATTACCAAAATGGACACCATCCACTGTACATCTTTGCCAAGTTGTATGGATCTGTTGCTATCTTAATTAGCTTTGTTGCTTGGTCTTCGACAGACAAAGCCTCGTTTTCGTTGAAATCTGTTCCTGACAGCTTCTGATTTACTCTTGCTCTCATTTCCGTGTTTGTTGTTTTGTCTCTTGGTTCTGCAAGCAAAACTCTTCCTTTGTCAATAACAGATCCAGTGACTTCAGTCATACCGACAAATGACATCTGGTCTGTCTTTGTGTTCGATGATCCACTCCTGTGCTCTTTAGGATCAACCAATGGTTCGTGGACGAATATTGCGAGAACCATGATCAAAATTCTTTTGTTTTCGCGCAAGACTCTTGAAGTGTTTACGAATGCATCTCTGAATGTTCCATCTGGCCCTGTTACTCCCATGGCCTTGCACATCATCCTTGTCAGTCTGAATGGAACAACTTCCGGAAGGAACTTTCGTTTCGCAGCTCGTTCGAAGCAGTCACCAAAATCGATGTGAATAAGTTTACCAGTGAATCTGTCAATCAATAAATTACTTGGATGTCTGTCGCCAAGACCGAAAACATATCCAACCATTGATGTCAAAGCAGCAGAAATGGAGAATGTAACTGTCCTCTTGTGCCACTGTTCTGCTGTGTTCGCTTTCAAGTAGAAGAAGTTTGCAATGTCTGTATCTGGAACAATATTCATCACCTTCGAAATGACATGATATTTCTGAATCGGCATCATGTAATCGAAGCTGACGTAACTCAATGATTCTGTCAAAAGATATTCTTGTATTGGATCTCTGTTCATAAGTCTTCTGTACTGCTCAACAACGCTTCTCAGTGTATCTGTTCCTGTAACCCATTGAACTAAACCATTTGTGATTGACAAAGGAATTACAGACATTGTTTGGATGACTTGAGCTCCAAAACATGTTTCTCGCTTCAAGAAATTGTTGATGAGTCTGAAGAACTGCATGATTCTCTCATCCAATCTCAAATCTTCATGGCCTTTGACTAAGTACTGATAGAAGTTTCCATCTTCGCCACGAATAACAACATCTTTCGGCTGTTGTTTTGACATGTAAACTGAAAATTGGCCGACAAAATATTGTATTCTTATGATTGGCTTTCCTGGTTTATAAGTTCCTGGGACGGCCAACTGGAAATGAGTTTTCTCAGCGAGAGGTTTCGAGATGGAAGAAAGCTGGATGATCCTGACTTTCTTGATATCCTCTGTCAGACTTGCCTGCATCGATTTGCACCACAGAGTCAACTGATTCATTTGTCCTTGGTTGTGTGGAGAGAAGACTTTGAGAATCCTCTCTAAAGCTTGGATATTGACTTGGTAACTCTCTTTGAATTGGTCGTGGAGAGCGCATTTCGGAGCTTTAACCATCTGAACAATCGATCTCAATGTGTCAACCATCAAATCGAATTGTTGCAATGCGTAATGGTCAAATGCATCTGTGATTCTCTGTATGACTTTTTCATACCATGTAACTGCAGCTCTGAGAAGACATTTTCTGATTGTGAAAACTTCATCGTGAGCTGATGGATTCATCTTCTTGAATTCATCGAATAAACCAAATGCCGCTTTAGATCTTCCAGCGTCTTTGGAGAATTTCATGACAATGACTGAGAAGATCAATTCGTGGTAATGTTCATGCAACAAATTGAAAACAGTGTCATGAACAAACTGAGCGACTTCTGGCACAGGATGACTTAATTGAACTAACAACTGCGGGGAAGCTTGCAACAACAGTTTTGGCTGCAATCTGTTCAAACAGTTGTTTGTCGTGTGCTCGAAAATATCTCCTTCATTCGCATGGTCGAAGAAGAGATTCAGCAACTGTACAACATCAGTGAAAGAAGGACTGATCGTGCAGCATTGTGACAATGCATCAATGGCATTTGTCACGTAATGTGGCAGATTTGGTGGATCAAGTTCAATCAATTGAGTATTTACATCTGACCACATTCTCAACACATTTACATTGATTGAGTCTTCTTTCATTGCGTTTACAATTGCTTTTGGAAGGAAGAGAGCTGTTGTGTTCGAAACTTTTCTGTGTGATTTCTTGAGATTTCCTAATAAACAATCAGAAACAGCAGGCATCATTTGCAGCTGTTTATATGCTTCTTTGAATTCATTCAGTGATTCACCTGTTTCTATGAGCCATGATGCATATAACATGTGGCATCTGTCAGCTAAATCTCCTTCAACTGTGTCTGAAAGAGACTTGATTTTGTCGATGGCTTCTTTCCTGTTGCCCATTGACCATTGTGTTACTGCGTGACAGATCTGTGGCAATGCATCATCGCTGTCTTCCGTGAATTCACTGAATATTGCGTTGAATGCGTTCATGTGGATTTTCGTGTCCATTGTCACTGATCTCAACTGGAAGAAATCAATGTATGAGTCGTAATGAACACCCGTGATTGCCGCTCTGTTTCCCAATATCTTCAGCCACAGTTCGAAATCTCTTGGTGCCATTGTCAATCTCTCCTGCCAAACTTCTTCGATACTTGGTCGCATTTCTTCATTCAACTGCCAGTTCTTCATTTCCAAGATCTCAACCAATTGTTGTGCGACTAACATCGTGTCTGTATGTATCTGTTGGTTGTCAGCCCACAAAGTAATTGGCCTTGACGCGAGTAATGAAAAAGCATTGTCAATGATTCTATCAACAATATCATATTTCTTCATGTGCAAAGCTGAAATTGCTTTCAATGAGAAACATCTCATTGAATCTTCAGGAGCTGGCTGCAAAGCGTCATCTAGTTCATCCCATCTTCTCAAGTGCATCATAGCATTTGCGAAATAAGGAGCTGTTGTCCTTTGATCAGCCAATTGCATTGTTTTGAAAGTAGGCATCAACTCAGCTAATTCTGGCCATCTAGCCATTGATGCCAATGATTTGACTAAGCCACGGAATGAATTAGATTTATCACCTCTTTTGAATTTCTCTTTGTAAATAGGAATAACTCTATCCCATAATCTCAGCTTTGCTTGCGTTTCTGGTTTGTTTATCGCTTGTATTTTTGTAGAATACAACTTCCAAATCGCATGTGCATTGTCCCATTCTCCAATCTGTATGTAAACTTCAATTAACTGCAAAACTGTTCTTGGTTTAACAATTTTTTCAGAGTACATTTCGTTCTGTTGTAGATAAAGAGCGAAAGCATCATAACCATATCTCAAACAAGCCCTTGCAATGTCTTGTGCAGGAATATTCATTGGAGGATCCATTTTCCTCATGAAGAAAATCAATTCCAATAATTCCTTGACAACGGATTCGTAATTTTCTTGTGCAACTAAAATTGACAAAAATGTTTCAGAAATTTGTTTTCTTCCTTCACTCGAAATCTGTTTCCAACAGGTGTAGAAAGCTATTCTAAACAAAGCAAATGCCAATGGCCTGTGATTAGAAGCCAATGTGGAACAAGCTCTGATACAAGGCGAAGGATTTCCTGAAATAGTTGTCAAGATAAACGAATGCAACCATTGTTCCAAATGTATTCCATATCCTAAAGCAGGAGACATAACTCTTGCAATAATACTTTCTTCGAAGAAAATATATTGTTGCTGGTTATTGATTGTCCTGTTTTTACTTGGTAAACTTGCAGGAGATTTGATTGGCGAGAAATTGGAATATCCTTGTCCATGAGAAACAGCGTTAATTATATTCTTTAACTGTGGTGTTTCCAATCCTCTTATTTTAATCAAATCCAATAATAAATCAGCATTAATTAAAAATTGAATTCCTTGTGCTAATAACAAAGAATACAACAAATTCATGGCTGTATCAACAGTTTCTTGGTCATTCATCGTAAGACAGAATTCAAGAGCTCTCACAATTTGTCCTAGATCTTTAAAAACATCAACGGATCTGACCATTTTGTCAAAACATCTCAAAGCAGCAATTCTGACATTTTTGAAAGTTTGTTCGCAAACAATTGCATCTGAAACAGCCGAGATTATGAGGAAAGACAAGTCGTTTTGGTATTCGCAGAAGAGTTCGAATGCTTCTAGAACAGATATAGAAGTCTTTTCATTTGTGTATTTCTCCGAATCCAAACATTGAATCAACAAACAAATTGTGTTTGCTGATGATTTAACGAAATGATCTTTCATGACTGTAGCGAAAGCAATGATTAAATCAATGCATTGCAAAGCAATCTTTTGATTAAACCTCTTGGAAATAATATCAAGAGATCTGTCCATGAAAGGTGAAGTGTTTTGTCCTGTTGAAAAAATCAATCTCGTATACAAAGGAATATAAACTTGTTCTAAATCACTGTCACTTGCTTTTTCTATGACATCTAATAATCTAGAAACAAATTTATCGAAATAAGGCAAAACACCCATCTTAGGATTACTCAATACATCAACCAACGCAAGTGCTGCATCATTATGGAAATCTGACAAACTGTCATCTTTGAAAATATCCAACAAACTTGAAGACACAATTGCTGTTACACATTGTTCAGCAGTATTTTGTTGCATGAGCAATGTATCATCAACACCACCTGTGTTATCTCTTGATGGATGATAGAACTGTCTACTCAAGTTGTCTTCAGCGAAATCAGGTGCTTCGTATGGTTTGATTTGCGGCCTTTGATGTACTTCTAAAATTCCTATCGCACCGATAACTTTCAAAACATTCATTCTCGCTTTTCTCGATCTTGTAACATTCAGGAATTTCGAACAAGCGCCAAGAATGACAGGAACCATTCCTCTTGTTATCATTGTCGATGCTGGTGGTGATAACAAAACAAAAAGTAATTTCAAACAGCTTAGAACTAATCTTCTGTTTTCTGTGACTCGTAAATAGTCGCAAAGAGCAGGAATGACACTTTCCACGTGTTTTGACATTGAATTTGCGTCAACAGGGGCAACAAGGACCAATGACTCGCAAAGAACACTGAAGAGTTCATCAGCAGCTGATACTTCAAGGAAATTGTTAAGTTTGGACCGTTCTTCGTCTTGTATAATATGTCTTGAACAGATATCAATGATTGTAGGGGCATAAATCTTTATGGTCATTCCTATGGCCTTGATAAGCTGTGGCATGGTCCGAACAATCTTGACTCTCGTACGAATACTCGGTACATTGTCTAATGTGAAGAAATAATTGAGAATTCGATCACGAGTTATCTGGGAGATCAATAGAGGATTGATCGATGATATCTTTGCAATCAAATCGAAGGCTTTGCTGCGAACAATTGCCGAATCATCTGATGTAAATATGTTTAAGTACTTGATATACTCAGGACTTGCAAGTTCTTTCGATGCATGCGAGACAAGAACTTCGAGAATGGCGTTCCTGACTGCAGTTGATCGATCAAATATTGCAAGTTGAAATAATTTCTTGATTACTGAGCCACTTAATGACTCACAGCTTGTGGTAAGGTGATACATGGCTTTGGGGATCATGGATGTGTACTCTTCTGAGTGTTCTGTGATCTTATCGGTAATGAGACACAAAAATGTCTCGTGGTCGATCAATGCTTCGCTTGGCATCCTGGATATGACATCAAGAGCTACAAGAGCGGATTTCGTCTTCGTGTTCTGCAATTCTGTCAATAATCTGTTGCATAATGGAACTTTGAACTCTTTTGTGTTGATGATCGCGTAGTTTATGTAGAAATTACCAACTTCGGGGGTTAATGGCGAGTTAAGAGTGTCATCTACTAATTTTTCTGAAATTGGTAAGGCTTTGGTACCGTAAGCTTGGAATAAGGCTGCGTAAATGATTGCAGTGCTGTTAATATCAATAGTATTATCGTCTATCTGCTTTTTGAATTCATCTAATTTATTTTCGTAAATTTCAGGGCATTGGCATATAATTATTTCTAAAGCTTTCGCGATATCACGTGGGAACTCGTTGTATATAAGAGGCATGAACGTAAGAATATAAGGAGCGACATTATTGATAAATTGATTTTTGTCAATGAAAACGAAGTACGTGAGAGTGACGAATTCAGCGCATTTAACCAAAAGCTGTGAATGGGCGCAAGCATCTTTGATCATTTTGAAGTAATAATGAAAGTTTTGTAGATAAAAATCGGGATTTGCGCGAACTAATTGAGTCATTATAGTCAATGCTGAGTAGATTTTGTTTGGAGACTCTAATGATAGTAATCTCGAGCATATAATTGTGAAGAAATTCATATTTGATTCTAACTCGCTTCGGCCATATCTAATAGAAGCTCTTGTAAACATGAATATAGCATCTGATGTCGCTCTGACTAGTTGTGCTGACGGATGTGAGACTAAAACCCAAATCAAAGGTTGAATTTGAAGAAAATTAGTAACAATATCACTGCCATCATTGGCTGACATAGCACTAAGCATATGAACTGCTGCTAAATGTCGTGATCGCCGGCCTGTAGCACGTATCCAGCCAACTACTCTATCAAATAAATGGGAAACGTAGCGAGATTGCTCAATATTTGGATGATGAATTAACCTACCAGCTACCCAACTTGTAAAAAGAACATATTCGGTATCTACTTGCGGTATAATTCGATCGAATATCATTGAAAGTTTGGGAAAATCCGGAAAACCAAAGCTGTGTAAACTGAGAATACCAATAGCAGTTCGCATAGAATCTTCAACTATTGGCTCTTTGGATAAATTTGAGAGAATTTCAAAAAAATCATCTATATATTTGTTAAAATTGTTATTTGATACCCTTTCCATCTCCAGAAAAAAGGATAGATAAAACTTTTCATAAGTTTTCTTCATATACTCAAATCTGTTTGGAATTGGTAGGGTAGGAAGATTCATCTACCCAAAAAATTACTCTAAAAAAATTTTTTTTCAGAGGATATATGTTCAATATTTGTTTAAAAACCGATTATTTATATCGGGTTTCAAAATTTCATGCATAAAATCCATATTCAGACTAAATACATGAATAATGGCTAATTTATGAAACAATTTTGAATTAATTTCAAAGAGGGCGACGGAAATATAATTTGATGTTTTTCCATGCAAAACTAGTTTCCAAAGCATTTTTATGAACTAAAGTAATATTTGCCCTTGAGTCAAAATAAAATTTACATGTCAAAATGATCCGTATATATTTGCCATATTTAAATCGACCGAATATCATTCAGTGACTAATTTCAAGACAATAAACCACATAAAGTACCAATTGTTACAAGAAATGGCTTAAATCATGACATTTAGCATTACTTTAAACATGATTCTGATTTGCTTTAAACAAATTTAATGTCTAGTCACTCATTTTACATTAACAATTTATTGAATAAACTATGTACTTGAGGTGTACACAATACAAATGCTTCTTTATTAATGGAATTATTTCATATTTTTCTTTTTATATAAATTCACTTTGATAATTCGATAACCATCCTTATTTTAACCATATAAATTCGTTATCTTCACATAAGTCAAGAATAATTTGACTCGATCATTATTGTTCATTCATTTTAAGGAAACTAAACATATAATGCTAAAAAATATACACAATAAGTTGTGACTAGCAATGAAATTCAGGAATTACATAATGTACATATGATTTTATCATTTCAATTTATATCTGAACTTGAAATTGCATTTAGGAAAGATGAATTAAAAACTATATGAGGAATACTAAATATTCCAAAAAATTAGACTGGTTCCAATATGTTAAATTCAAAAAATCATTTATTCTTCCTTAGCAAAAATCTTTTGGTAAGTTTCATAATCAACAAATTCTCCAGTGGCGCCATCCTTGAGTTTCTGTAAGTTTTCAGCAGGAATTGTTGGATCTTTGGAAGCTAAGAAACTGAAAACGTTGATAAGATCCTTTGTAGGTATCTTTGACTGACCCTGATCATCTTTGAAGATCTGGAATAAATTAGAGATAGTCTTATCGAAGTTAGATGAAACTAATGCAGCAGCAATTCCCATAAAAACGTATAAATCAATAACTTCCTGATCAGCGAAACCTAAACGAAGAATGTTAGCTAAGACATCTGGAGAAAGAGCTTGATCTTCACATGCTTGCTGGTAATCAGCGCGCTTTAATTCGTTTTGTGTTTTGAGAACTTGTGAAAGTTGTTCTTGAAGACCATGAAGATCATCTAATGTAACACGATAGCCAGCAGATGAAGCTGGTGGATCATCAAGACGATCCTTGAAATATTGAACCGAAAAGGCAATAATATCTTCAGGATTTTTGCGAATTATTTCTTTTGAATAAGCCTTTAATATCGGGGGCATATCCGGAGGAATCTGGATTTGCTCCGCGCAGTACATATTATTCGACAGCATCTCTAATAACGGACATACGAATATTGTAAACTTTTGCATCAGGAAGTTACGTTTTTTTATCATATGAACTATTTATCATCGACCATTATTCAGAGGTTTACTATCCCTGCCTAAAGATATATAGCATTTAACAAATAAAGGATTGAGTTATTTAAGATGATCCCAATACAGGGTTTAATCATTCATATTTAGATAAAATAATACTCACCCATAATACTGTTCGCACAATTAATACCTTATCCTTAAAGTAATTGCATACTTCTAATCAATATTTAATTGAGGTGGGATAATGATGGACAAATTGATTTATTTGAGAGATTTCCACACACAATGAATGAATTTTTAATGTATGATGCGTAATATGAGCCAAGCTTGATATAATCAAAGAATGTATAATTTGAATTTTGCTAAATTAATAAAAATACAGAATTTGAAGGATGCTTTTACATCAGCTTTTCCAAATGTGGCTGTGTGACGCATATTTATGTATTCTATGAATGTGATTCATAGATCAAATAGAAAAAGAGGAACATGCTCTGTGATTCAAGCTCACACTCACAAATGAGATTAAATTAAAAAATGTCTTTGCGAAGTTTCGAAAGATAAAAGATTCTTATGTAATATGTATTCACAGGAATACATTAACGAAAATATGAGAGTATAATGATTGAACACAATTCAAATGAATCAAGAAACTAATGTACAAGTGATAAATCGCTTGAAAATAGTTGTGTTTCGTTCATTCAGTGATTTTGTCTCAAGATTTTAGTCCTAAAAGTGACAAATGAATAGCAGTAAGTGGAAATCTCCATTTCAGCGCAAGAAACGCGAGAGGCAGCAACCAGCAGCACGTGCACATCTCGGCATCCTTGAGAAAAAGAAAGATTATATTGAGCGTGCAAAAATTTATCACAAACACGAGAAAGAAATCGATGATTTAAGAAGAGCAGCTGAACTTCGCAATCCAAATGAATTCTATTATTCTATGATCGGAGATATGAAAGAGAAACCAGTTGAATACAAGTCAAAGCCACGTGAAGATTTTACAAAGGAACAAAGACTTCTTTTAGAAACTAGAGATATTAACTACATTATTGCAAAGATGCAGACACAGAAGAACAAACTCGAAAAATTAAAAATCAGACTCCCAATTAAAACACAAGGATCAACTAAAATTTATTCTTCTGTCGAAGAAGCTATTAAAGCAACAAAGGGCAAGGAAGTTGAAGAAGAAAATCCTGAGGAAGAAGATACACCAGATGTTAAGCAGCTTAAGGAAGAAATTGAAAATAGAGAATTCATTTTACAGAAATTGCAAGAAGTTTATGATGAGATGAAACTTCAAGCTGATACTAAGAACGATGAAAACTATGATACTTATGAAGATGATGACGGAAACGTTCATCACGTTTGGAAACCAATTAGAAAGCGGTAATTACTATATTTTAAATCTACATGTGATTTGATTTCTATAGAGTTATAAATATTTGATAGAGCTTATTCATTATTAAATATTTTTTTTTATTTATGCCGAATTTAACAAATTCTTTAAGCAAAATGCATAAATTTTATGTCCAAAGTCCCTTAAAAACCAATCCCATTATTCACCTTTATTAACAAAACATTTTTTTCCCTCAGAGAACTGAGAAACTTTTGTTATTTGACAAAAGTTTACAAATTGTAAAGTTAGGTTTTTATTTATAAAATGTCAAAGCTTTGGCATGAAGTAAAGAAAGGAACATCAATTGCTACACAATACGTTAAGGAAAAAACAGGTGTTAGCAAGTCTGAAGTAAATCCACTGTTCGAAAGCGCTTGCGAAAAGTATCAAGTTTTAAATGAACAATTTACAACATTCAAATCAGATTTAGATGTGATATTGGATTCCGCACAAAAGGCTTCTAAGTCTGGCGCTGAAATGACCAAGTATCTTCAACAAGCTGACAAAGCTAATGGATCAAGTTCTCAATCTGTTGTTGTTCCAGTCTGCAATTTCTTCGAGAACAACGAAAAAGTTATTAAAGAGCAGTTTAACGATACTGTTGAGAAAGACGTCATGGCAAACTTCAAAGAAGTCCTTAAAACGATGGATCACTTGGGCGAGCTTAAGAGCAAGAGAAATAAAACAGCTTTGTACGTAGGATCACTTAAAAACGATACAGAGAAGTACGCAAAGAACGGCGACTCCGAAAAACTTACAAAAGCAAAGATTGAGTACGAACAACAGCTTGATACACTTAATCATCAAACTGAGGAATTTATTAATACCGTAGGACAGCTCTGGCAGACTAAAGCTTCAATTTTAGAGACAGCAATTCAAGAATTCTTCTCAATCACTTACGGACTTTCACGCCAACTTTACGGCAACGTCCAAACAATGGAAGCAAACATCAACTCATCCTACGCTTCAAATACAGCAGAAAATCCTTATGCTGCTGTTGGATACTCTGTTCCACCTTATGCTCCTCCACAGTAAGTTATAATATTGAATTTCTTCATGTAGGTTGATACTTGTATATCAATGTTAATAAAAAAATTTTATCAACAATTTTTATTTTTTCAATTTTTTTTGGAATTCAAAGGTGAATTTTATTCAAAATGAAGCAGACATCATTAATATGCATGGCAATATATTCAGTTCTTTATAATCACTTCCTTAAAATTATGCTTTTTAAGTAGAAATTGCATTCAAATCACACCCTCACAATGAATATTTATCGATACTTTAGTAATAAATACACTTATGAAGGATGTTTATATCAAAATGCATAGAAAACAGTTGAATTTTCTCTCTAGATAAAGATCAATATAATTAAATTTCAAATGATACAAATTTACCATATAAAAATCAGTAAATTATAACTAACATATAATCTTTATTCTTATGTAATGGTATGGCTTTTGGCTCTAAATCCAAAAGTGAAAATTTATTAAAATGGGACTGACAAAATGACCTTTTGTATTTATCAAACGAATTTTCTTACATTTAGAGGTATAGAATTGAAATTTCCGAATTCAATATAACACGTAGCAGAGGAATTTTTGAATACAAATGAGGAAACTTTTGAAATAGAATTTGCTCTATATCAGATGAGCTCCACACTGGTGAAAATTGGGGTGATTTTACCAACGATTTCTCAAAAATTAGATTCTTATTAAACTCCTTTTTTTTATTTAGGTACCCTATTCAATTTCTATCGTCACCATATGGAGAGGTCAGGCCCATATCATAAAACATTAAGTTTGGACTTACTAAGACATGTAAGAATTACCTTGCTTGTATAGGGGCATTAAATACTTTTAGATGCTAAAATCTTCAAAATTAATTTAATTTGATATTCAAAATATGCACGAAAACGTAAATAAATACGGATCTAGCTCTCACATATCTCTATTTTAAGCATTGATAAGTATTTCTACATTCTATTTTAAAAAAATATTCAAATTTCACAATATTCTTTTCATTGATAATCTACATATTAACGAGAATGATATAACTTTTCATGTGTTTAGAAGTTCTTAGCTTTAGTACTGTATTGTTGAAAAAATTATTGAAGACATTTTTCTTTTTGAGAAATTAATGCAATAACCAAAGAGGAATTGCATATGCTGCGCACTAAAATTATAGAAATGTCTCTAATTAGACACAAATAGAGATATTCGGAAATAAAAATTTGAAATTTTGATCAAAAACGCTATTTTCTAATCATTTTTATTTTAACTATATATAAAGTATCTTTTTCTATAATTTATACTTGATGGTTTAAAAGACGTTTAGACTCAAAATTTTACTGCATTTCATGTGGTAACTATGCTTTATCACTAACTACCTCCTTGTTTCAACCCTGAACAATATATTATACCTCCCAATGCAGGTATTACTCCAACAAAATTAGCAATTTGGCTATTGTCTAAAATTTTCTCAAAGAAAGAGGAGTAAAGTCCCATTTTTAGATTTCGAGCTATATTAGAATGCAACTTAGACAAAAGGTTACAGTTTCAATACACATATTCAAAAAATTTGCATTCGAAATTTAAGATAAAGTACAATTTCCAAAAAAGAGTATCGAATCAGTGCACAAATATGCATTTACATGCTTACACTAGCTTGCACTAGTATTAATAATTTTGAAATTAATTTTCAAATTATTCCCATACCTTTTGCAAAATTATTATGCTTATGATTCTAAGCATAGTTAAGCGATCTCGAATTTGAATTGCTAAGAAAAAATAATTAGTAAAAAATTTGTCTATGCATTCTGTATGATGCTACTAACTATATTAGCAGCATACCTAAAATCTTTTCAATATTTTTGAGGGAATTTGAATGGTACCGGTTGAGAGCTTTTTTAATTAAGGTACTATTTCGATAGAATTTGAATAGTACCCCTTCAATTTTGTGAGGGACCCCCTTTCATTTTTTGAATAGGGTACCTTAAATGAAAAAAGGACCTTACCTTCAATTTTCTGAGTTAACCAAAATGTTTTATGTGTATTAAGAGGATATTAGATAAACATGTAATATCTACGCTTAATATACAAACTTAAGTTTTGATGATTTTCTTGAAATTAAGAATTTAGGTTTGAAATTTTCATGTATCATCACGGCTGTATGCATATAAACAGATGTAGAGTAATATGGCTATCAAAAATAACCCAGTTTTATTGAAAAATACCGGGGCTACAAGTTAAATTTATGCTACGGAGTTATTTTTCCGACGTTATAGAAGTCATTTTCATTACCCTCCATTTCTTAAAAAATGGCAATAAGATATTAATTTATTCAGAAAAATCAATAAAATTTATTTTAATTTGATAATTATTGTTTTTTGAGATCATTCTTCATCGTAGTATTTATGATAACCTTTAATGATGATGTTCTTAAGAGTATGATATATGTGAATGATTTCTTTGCAGTACTTATCAAGATTAACAAATAAATCTTCGATAGTTGTTATATGTTTCTTTTCGTTCGATTTTTCATCTGAAGAACTCTTGAACTTGAATCCGATAAGTTCTGCATTAGTTCTGTTCCTAAGAATAGGCAAGTCATTTCTGCGTTGAAGAAGCAACGTTTTGAGTTCGTCCGCCTTTTGCTTCAACAACACCTTTAGTCGAAATTCGTCTGCATCTTGATCACAGTCTGGATTTTCAACTGGTATGAGATTCTTTAAACGTTCTTGGATCCTTTGTATTGCTTTGAATCCTAAGTAATATTTATCTTCTTTTGACTCACATTGAAGAACTTTCTGAAGAATAGAATATTCTCCATAGTCGATATAAAGATCTCCTTCAAGAAAGCGTTCTTTAAGATCTCTATCACTTTCATCATTTATTGTAGGAACTACAAAGTCAACAATTTGAGGAATAATTCCGATGTTATTATCCCAAAGATGTGCCCAACCATCCTCGCCATAACCTTTCAAAAGGAATCCAATATTTCCTTTGTTTATGTCATATAAATTCATAATCCTAATCATAATGTCAAGGACTGTAGTGTCGATATTAAAGGATTCTTGCTTTTGTTTTTCAAAACGATGGTGAGCACAAAACAAATAAAAATCAAAATCATGTGTGTTGTGTAGTACATCTTTTCCAAGTTCAAAAAAGGCTTGATCACCATGTGTTAAATCTTGTTTTGCAATGTAGAATCCGCGTGAAATATATGGATTTATTACGAATTCTACATGTGGACCCATGCCAAAACACTCAAGAATTTTGTAAGCAAATGGTTCTCTTAACTTTGGAAGACTATAATAAGCAGGTGGGAATCGATTATTGTCATCAAATATAAAATCAGTTAAGAAAAGAGATTCCCAATTGTTTTCCTGATTTTCTATCGGGTATCCAAAGAATGCTTTGATGTAGTATCTAGTGATAATTTCCTCACCTTCTTTTAAAGAAAGGGTTTCACCAAACTCAACACCATGTTTCTTGATTTCGGCAGCAGCTTTGTATTGGTCTGAAAACTCAATTTCGACTTTATCGAAATCAAACGATTTGACTCCAGTGCGAAGATGTTCTGCAAATTCTGGTATCTGTTCTATTGCTTGGTCTTGTAAAATCTTTCTAGAAATCCAAAAATAAAACTTCGCTTTTCTTGTCAAAAATTCTTGGTTAACACCATAATCATCATAAACTGGTTCTCTAAAGCTGAAATCTGACAATGTTCTAAGAACAGTGAGACAATCATTTCTTAATTCTTCCGGATTTGTTCTTGAAATGAGAAATTCTGTCTTACTAGAAAAGTTTTCTTTTGTATTTAAAGTCTCTTGCTCAGGATTTCCTATCAATTTTGCAAAAAATATTGAGAAAGTAGACTCCATAAAGTACTTCATAACTTCAAAAGGGTTTAATCTTCCGTTATCATATTGTTTAAATTCCTCAATGAATCTTGGATAAACAAATTTCTCAAAAAACTGAAGAACTTCTCCATCTTTGCGAAGACAAGATTTAATTAAGTCCATAAGGATAACAGCGTTAGATTTGGGTTTTTCTTCTAAATCATTTGTACTTAGGATTTCAGATGTAAGTTGTTCTTGATGTGTAATATTAAGGTTCATTTGATCCAATATTACTGAAGAATCTTGGTAGTTAATGTTCACTTTGTTTTCTTCCAATCTTGGTTGAAATGTATGAGAAAGATTACTTGTATTGCTCAAGTTATACAAATCTCCCATATGAAAATTTAAAAAAATTTTAAACCGCTATCGAATGTTTTGAATTTTGAATAATTTACACCATTTTTTATCCAAAACAAAGGTAGTCCAGCAAAAGGTACATTCACTATTTTTGACAAAATTTTAAATTTTCATGGGGTTGTAAATTTTATAATAACTAGATGAATAAGGAATAAATCCCAGTATGATGTGCATCATTATATTAAACATTATATGTAAGCCTTGTAATTCTATTAACACTTATGAAGATCTATAGTATTTGAGCAGATAAATTTGATAATTTCCAAAACTCTTATATTTCAAAATTAAAGTGTGCGAATGCATTTAAATGAGAGCAAAAAGAGAATGATGCTGTTAAAACTAGGTGTTAATTTCCAATTATTTCGCATCACAAGAACTACCCAGTAAATTCGGCTATCTTTCTTTGCAATTATTTTCTATTTTACATATATTATAATGGTTAGGGTTTGAAGAAAAGTTACTAGAGAATTATTGATTTTTGAAATAATGTAGAATTTTACGGGCGCGTAAAGGTTTGGCGTCCTAAGGCGTCCTGATGTAAACTATTCAATTTTTGAGAAGTTTACACTATAATTGAATAGTTTATGGCGTCCTGAGAAGAGATTTCAATGGGTATGGCGTCCTAAAAAAATAGAAGAAAATGATTTTTTCTCGATTTTTCTAGAAATTGAATTTTTTAAAAAAGAAAAAAATCAAAACGTATATATTCAAGAAAGACTATAAATGAAGATTTTTCTATTTTTTTCATTCTAAAACATCTTTTTTTGGATAATTTTTTTTAATAAATATGTAAGAAAGATTGAAGAAAAAGTAAATTTACTTTAAGAAAATTCGTTTTACATGATGTAAGACCCATAACAACTATAAATATTCAATTATTTAAAATAAAAAAAGAAAAACAGATTAAATGTATCTCACATCAAAATCCATTGACCTAAGGATGTTAAGTTTCTGTTTTTAAAAGTTGATATTTTTTTTTTAATTTTAAGAAAATTAATAGCATGTTATTAGACAATAGGAGTGTAATGATATTGACTAAACAGAAATGAGAGAATAGAGATATAATTTTGATAAGCAATATTGCGAACAAATTCTGAAGTAAAATCGCGATCAATAATTGAAAATTACGATCATGTACTGAAAAATGACGATCGAATTGAATGAATAGAATTATATCTAAGAAAAAATAAATTGTATTTAGAAGATGAACAAAGAAAGGTGTATGCTAAAAATCATTTAACAATAAATGGAAATAAAACGAAATTGTTAAAAGAAAAAAATGAAAATTGTTAAGGGTGCCCTATAGACGATAGACCACCCTCAGAAAAGCACTTTTAAGGTTATTTCTGTTAAGCTTTTATCTCGTTCAAGAGAGAGATTTTTTGAACTTTACCATATCATAATGCTTAGTTATATTATGACCAATCTCTACGATTTTGAAGATTTAAATTACGTTGAGAATTCATCGATTTTGTGATTTTTTGATTTTTTTTTCGAGTTTTTTTGATTTTTTCAAAAAAATAAAAAAGAAAGAAAATAAGGAAGGCATATAGTGTTTTCATTAAAAACAATTATTACAGTAAACAATGTCGCCAATTATTGGTTTTTTGAAATAATAAATTTGAAAAATGAAATATTGAGCATATATTCTACCCAATATCAATTGACTGATTAAATACAATATATATCTTTGCTTTATTCACTTTGATTACTTTTGTATTAAAAAAACCGTAAAATTTAGCGGGATTTTATTCCAATCATGGAAGGATACACAATTGAAGAGATATTAATAACATATAAAGCTGATGACTGCCAAAAAAGGGTCTATCATCGAACTGTTTATTCAAATAAGAAACCTTTTTCGCATTTCATTAATCTAAACCAGCTTAATTCAAAACAAGATCATTCACAATCAAATGTTAAGGAAGAAACAATATTCAACGTCAAATTTAAGCTTGGAGTTCCGTATAGTGACGTTGTCAAGAATCTTCATACTTACATTTCTCTTATATCTGGTGCAGGATTTTCAAAACACATCGAATTGGCATCACTCCTAAACTTTCATTGCCCAACAGAAACTACATTACTTGCGCATCTAAAGAGCATATTGCCAGATCTTGAGAAAGTTGCAACAGCAAGTTGTGAAGCTAATATACAAGAAATTCTTAAACATGATTCAGAATACAAATTTAATGTTTCATTAGATTGCGCATGGAGTTCTAAGCGCGATGCTTTACATGCCGTCATTACGCTTATAGATATAAATACAAACAAAATATTAGATTTTAGAATAGTTTCAAGGCATCCAGAATTAATAAAATTCAAAATCCCAAAATTTTGGTTGAACCAAAAAATTTCACCAGGATTAATGGAAAGCTATGCATTACGTGATATGTTGAAATCTGATTTATGGAAAAAAATAAAAGTTTTTTGTTCAGATGGTGATGTTAAAGATTCAACAATGATAGAGAATTCTGGTGTACAATTATCACATGTAAGAGATCCAAATCATGTGATAAAATCAGCATTTTCAAAAATTGTCACTAAATATCCTAAATTTGAAAAAAATATTTAGGATCCTTTTTGCATGCCCAACATTAAAACCAGAGAGCAAAAGGTTCAGAGATGGATGGGATTAATTAATAGATATCCAGGAGAATCACCAGAGCATATCGAAAAAAGAGAAATTATTACAAATATTGCTCCATTGTTTCTAAGAATCAGCAAACAATATCATACAAATTTCAACGAAGCTTTCAATTCATTGAAAGCCCATTTAGTCCCAAAAAATCTTCGTTGGATTATTGGATTTCCAGCCAGAATTTTTGTTTCTGTATTTGCGTATAATGAAGACAATTGGAAGACAAAACTAAGAAGATTAATGGGTATAGATGATTCTTATTTTGATGAAGATATTTTACAAGTTATATTAAATTTCGAAAATAAATCCGATTATGACCATATCAGAAGAACTTCGGAAAACTACAGAAATCATAACAGATGCGTTCATTACATTCCAGATGAAATTGACCCAGAATTCGCTGACTTAGTTCCTCATAAACCGTCAAAAGGTGGATCCAGATCCGAAAAAATTGAATACACTGACGATGAGGATCCGCCAGCGGATGAAGAACCGTCAGAATCTGAAAATCTTTCACTTCCAACAGATTATCCAAAATTCAACAAAAAATCTATATTTGGTTCCGATATCAAAGTACCACCAGATTGGAAAAGGTTTTCATTTTTCTTCAAGGCGAAGGAAATTCCAGATGATCCTCAAGAATTCCAAAATTTATTATCCAAATTTAAACAAGATCTTTATAATACGTACTCGTCTTTAATTCGTATTAATGAAGAAAATATCTCGGCTGTTGCAGTTTACGATTCTCAGCAAGCAAAAGAAATTATGAATTCAGCTTTTACTGATTTTCATAACTTTGGGAAAATTAAGATAAACGCAATCAATTATCTTAACGTCCTCAGCCACAATCCACCATCTCTTGAAATGATAGCAGATTTTCATCCTGATTTGATACAACTTCCACAGACACTCAGAAAAACTCATGATAAGCCTAAAAAACTGTTTCGTACCGAAATGGCTAACAAAAAGTGATAGAAAACCTTAAATTGCGCGGCAATTTTAATTAAAAAAATAAACATTAATTTTTGTGATTGATATTATGCATTTTATTTATATTATATAAGATTTAAATTTAGGGGAAAAATTGGAAAAAAATAAGATTGGAAGTCTTTAGGTAAGAAGGAAAGGGCAAGAGATATATAGTGTACCTATATACCTCTTGCCCTTTCATTCTAAGTAGAAATGGGAGAAACTTTGTCCGCATCATAAGTTATGCGGACAAAGTTTCTCCGATTTCTAATGGGAATTGCAGGCTATGAGGCACTGATATATAATCAGTACCTCATAGCCTACAATTCCCCTTATTAGACTTCCAAACTTTGAGTTAATGTCTTGACATTAACTCAAAGTTTGGAAAACTTCTCGTAAGAATCAATCGTCAAAAACCTCGATTGCAGTTATATTCATTGTGTTAAATTTGATTTATTTTGAAATTTTTATAAATTAAATTTTATATAACATAAAGCGTTATGAATTAGTATTTCCATATAAATTTTATCTCGAAAATAGTAATTCTGTACAGTTATATTTCGGTTAATTTTGGAAATTTCTAGGAATACTTTAAGATAGTATGATTATATATAACTCTGCCTTCATGATTTATTTTAGCTTTCGCGCAAATATCAGTTAACTTAACTCCATTATTTGATTTTGTGATGGCTTCACAAAGCCAATCAATATCAATCTCTTCTGGAGAATGTCTTCTCATCTAGAATATTTCAATACTTTACATACAAACATTTTTATTTCTAAAAAACTTTTTAATTTTTTCTAGGATATATGAATGAAAATAGTTAGAACAAGATTTTGAAGCTCAAAACATTAAAAATTATTAAAGATTTGTATAATATGATTAAAAATGGGAAATAATATGAGGCAATATAAAGGAATATGAATATTAAATAAATATATCTAAATAGAAAGAATCAGAAAAATCAAATTATTGGCGCCAAAAATGTCACCTTTTTGGTGAGCCATTTCGGTATGAGATAATAAGCCTAAAAAACAAAAGCTTGGTATCAAGCTTGTAAAAAATATCGGTTTTCTTGCCGTTATTGTTCAACTTATTACATTTCGACCATTAATGCACAAACTATTTGACGAATTATTCTCTAATCCCAATGAGCAACAGTTAATATACAAAGAAATATTATCGCTCACAAATCGGAACTTTTCGGAAAATGCAGATGTTACTTATCTGTATCACCTGTACTCGAAACGGCAAAAGATACATCAAGCTGATCCAATTGATGCTTTCAAATAATTACAAGAATCGCTTGCATGTGAAGCTAGGCAACTAGATCTTATTGATTATTTCAAAAAATTCTGCTGGGGATTTACAGATAAAATTGACATTCCTCTTGTTAATAATAACGAACTTCAAGTTACTCCTACTTTTTCAGATTATCTTTTTATTGATGTTGCTGGTTTTACGTTTCCATTGGATGATTACACATGGAATAACAATCCAGCTGTAAAATCCAAACTAGTAGCCATAATAACTTATCACAGTCGACAATATAATATTATTATTTTGGACGAAAACATCAATTCATGGATTCTCTTTTGTAATACCAAAATATCTTATATTCGTGATGAGGAATTGGCGAATAATTTAAACAAAGGCGCATATAATACACCGAAATATTTGATTTTCGAAAAAATTTAGGTTTTTCAAAAATTAAATCTTTCATTTGTAATGTATGAATAAAATGTATGTATTTGATATAATTGATACATTCGAAATTTTTATTCTGAAAAAAATAATAAACAATTTTTGGCTTTTGTGATCTGATAATCTGTAAGAATAAATACCGACAAATTTTATTAATATTCATCGTAAAAGTATTCGGCTCTTGATGTAAATAAGGAATATTTTTTTCAAAAGTTGCTTTTGAAGACTCTTTTATCAAGTAGCTGCATTTATTCATTGATAAGAAAGTATGCTGTACCAAAAATCGATAATTCACCACATTAACGGCCAATTTTGTTTTGCATTTCGACAAAAAAGCTCCTTTTATATAACATTACTGGGCGAAAATTAGAGTATCTACGATGACAAAACAAAATACATCAACTTGATTTTTTGCCGAGAAAAATTTTTTTGGAGGTACCAAAATAGGTCTCGAAAAGCATTGGTTTTATTTAAGGTTATTTTTCTGAGGGGGAGCTATCGTCTATAGGGCACCCTTAAATAATATATTATTTTTTAGTCATAAGAATAAAAATATAGTAGTTATAAAAGGAATTAGACTTCATATATCAATTCTTTTTCTCTGTAGATGTGGAACGTTTGCTTTTCGATCTCTTTCGATGAACTTGAAAATATAAGTTATTATCGCTGAGAATCCTTTCCGAAATAGGAGCTTTACGTTTAGGAGGATTGTCGGATGAATTTTGTTTTTAATTGTTTGATTTTGTTGTTATGGAAGATTTTTTCTTATTTTTTTCAGAAATTTGCTTGCTATTAACTGAAACTTGTTTTGACGGCCCAACAATAGCATTTGTAGTAGGAAGAATTCCCAATAACGAGCGCATTTTCGATAATTGTTTTTCAATATGATCAAGAAGGTCCAGCTTATGTTCTAGATTACTAGACATTTGATTTGTAGAAGGATGGTTTTGATTTTCTGGTTCTAAATCTGTAGAGTCTGCAATATGAGTGTGGTAGAATTTACGAAAAAGTGACACTTAACCTTAAATTTCCAAACACTATTTTTTGATTGTATTTTGTTATTTATATATTTATATATATAAATATATTTATATATGTATATTTATGTATGTATATTTATGTATGTATATTTATGTATGTATATTTATATATGTATATTTATATATGTATATTTATATATGTATATTTATGTATGTATATTTATGTATGTATATTTATGTATGTATATTTATATATGTATATTTATATATGTATATTTATATATGTATATTTATATATGTATATTTATATATGTATATTTATATATGTATATATTTATATATGTATATATTTATATATGTATATATTTATATATGTATATATTATATATGTATATATTTATATATGTATATATTTATATAGTATATATTTTTATATATGTATATATATTTATATATGTATATATTTATATATGTATATATTTATATATGTATATATTTATATATGTATATATTTATATATGTATATATTTATATATGTATATATTTATATATGTATATATTTATATATGTATATATTTATATATGTATATATTTATATATGTATATATTTATATATGTATATATTATATATGTATATATTTATATATGTATATATTTATATATGTATATATGTATGTATTTATATATGTATATTTATTTAAAAAAATTAAAAATAATATAATTAAAATTTATTTATATTTTAAATTTCATACTGATCTTCGATTCCAATTTGTGAATTGATATCATTAACAATTGAATTTCGGTGCACCCCTATGAGAGCGCTGGCGACCGAAACACCACTAGTAAGATTGTGTATTAGAAACTGCTTCATGCTGTGTTGAGTAAGCTTCGATGTCTTTGTAGGATAGCTTTCTGAGAGCGAAACAAGATAGTGTTGAAAAAAAAATTTGAAAATCTGAGAGACTGTGCAAGAGCCAACGACCAAAACACTACCAGTAAGATACAGCAGTAGTAGCTGCTTCATGCTGCATTGAGTATTGTTGAATAATTTGAAGTAGTGGTTTTTGAAATCAGCACCCCTATGAGAGCGCTGGCGACCGAAACACCACTAGTAAGATTGTGTATTAGAAACTGCTTCATGCTGTGTTGAGTAAGCTTCGATGTCTTTGTAGGATAGCTTTCTGAGAGCGAAACAAGATAGTGTTGAAAAAAAAATTTGAAAATCTGAGAGACTGTGCAAGAGCCAACGACCAAAACACTACCAGTAAGATACAGCAGTAGTAGCTGCTTCATGCTGCATTGAGTATTGTTGAATAATTTGAAGTAGTGGTTTTTGAAATCAGCACCCCTATGAGAGCGCTGGCGACCGAAACACCACTAGTAAGATTGTGTATTAGAAACTGCTTCATGCTGTGTTGAGTAAGCTTCGATATCTTTATCAGACCACCTTTAAATTAACCACTCACATTCTCACTGAGTTAGTATACATATCATGGGTACGGAGGCACTGCGTTCCACCTTACCCTTGTTATGTGAATTTGACACTTTACGAAACCGTTAACGTATATTTTACAACACAAACGACAACACCAACTTAACATTAAATATTTATAAAGCCGCCAACCACTTCACTAACGTTTTCACAAACGACTTCACTACTGTAAAAATAAACGTTCTCACTTACAAAAGTATTGCAACTCCTCCCATTGCTGTGCTTCATATAACAGCTTATAATCTTCTGACTCACTTTCTTCTTCATATAGGTCAAAATCACTGTCATAGTTAGTAAGTTTTGACAAAGCTAATGAAACACGCTTACCGTTTGTATCATATGCTTGTATAAACTTTCCATTTCTTTTTCATAAACGCTCAAACTAACTTTACCCTTTCTCCCTCGTATCTGATAGAATGTATTTTCACGAGGAACGAAGAACAAATTCTTGAACTCATGACCGTTGTAGTTTGTTATCTCAATAGTTTTCGTCATTTATATAAAAATAAATAAAAAATAAAATAAAAAATAATGATATCACCACCCTCACACGTATGAAAACATCACAAAAATTTAGGTGAAGTGGTGAGATCTCACCTCTTTTTTCACCTTTTTCACCCTGTTGAATTCATTGCTTTATAACTCTCTTCCTTTCTCCAACTCTTCTAACTTCTTCTTAAGTTCAGCAATGTTGTCCTCATGAAGTTTAATCTTTCTCAAAATTCCTTCTTTATCTAATGGTTGCTTTATCTTTCTAAACTGAACTCTACCATCCTTCATAGTATGAATGTAAAAACCTTCTGGAATAGTTCCTGATTTAATGTAT